GAAGTTGTTGATTTATGCACTTAATGAAGTAAGTTCTAATATTTGAGTGGAAGGAAGTGGTGAATGCGCTATTTGCATCTTTGTCTGGATTCCAAACTTGAAGAGTGGCTTTCCAGTTGATATCTTGGGCATCAATATTGTCTAACAATTGTTGTGAGATGTCTGATAATTACCATGAGTATTGATTATGTTTCAGATAGATAAATTTGATGAAGTGTCTCAAATTGGTGTCGATAGGAGTTCTTTGTTGAAAAATTGGAACAAAACTAAAGCTAGGAATGTTGTGAGTTTTGATGTGGATTGGATCGAGTAGTCTGCCTTGGTACATTATTTATATTATTATTTATATCATTATTTATATTATTATTTATATTATTATTTACAAATAATACATAGATTATTTATTTAGATTATATTAAATGATCTATATTTATATTAGATCACAAGACAAGCAAATAAGTGAGCAACCAAGTGAGTAAGCAAGCAACTAAGCAAATGAATAAGTAATTTTCTTGTAAATATTATTAATAGTTTTGATTTAACAATTTTATATAAAAAAAACATGTATTTTAGCTTAGAAAAATTAGTTATTTAGTCAATTCATTAAGTAATAACTCAAAAATAAACTTCTTTGATAATAATGTTCTTTTTAAATTAATATATTTAGAATATTTAAATAATTTCATTATTTAAGTTTTAAAATTTTATATTAGTTTTGTTATAATCTCTTATATATTTGTAATATTATGTGGATAATCTCTTACACATTATAATATCATATTTATAGTTTGACCTCTCACACATTGTAATATTATATTATTAAAATAATTTAATAAATTGAATTTATAATATTTTACTTGTTTATAAACTATTATCATAATTATTTTATTAAATACACATTAAATTATAAAAAGATTTCTTAAGTCACTTTTAGCTGACTAGTAATTTAATGAATATACGTCACTATTTTTAGCTATTTATCTTATTTTTCCCATCTGACTTGAAATACGTGTTGAGTATGTTGTCACAATTAGATTCCTAGTAGATATTATCATAACGTATGTATTCAACCAATGTCTGATGATAGTAATTTTATGGTTATTCAATCTCATTGTAATAAATGTACTTCGGGATCATCACGTAGTGCATTTTCTTTTATCTCATAGATAGACTCTCACTATTACTAATAGATATTTTGTTTACTTAGTGTGAAATAGTCTTATAGCAATACAGTACTGATATTCTATAGCAACTTTGACAGTTATTCAATAGTGCACAATAAATGCAAGTATTTTAATAAGTTATTTTTCAATCAATTAAGTATACAAATTTCATTAACAATAAACAAGAAACAGTTTATTGACTAGCTAGATTTTTATATTGATCAATTGATCTTTTTTTCAAAGCTTCAATTGCACTTTATTATAATAAATATTTTCTACTAATAAATATTACATTTATAATTAATTATATAAGTTGATAAATAATAGATACTATGTAAATGATAGTAATTATGGTAATTGTTGTAAATGAGGATAATTATAGTAATTGTTATAAATATAATAATTATCAAAATTATGAAAATTATATAAATTTTCAGTTGTAATATCACACACCAATAACTCAAAAAGAAGATAATATAGTGTATGATGACTTTGATCTTGATGATTACAATATTCAAGATAATAATAACAAATTTAAAGAAGAATATAAAGATTCATTAATAGAAGACCAACTATTATTATGTGTAGAAGAGAATCTCAATGGAAAACTAGCACTAAATATTGAAATTGGAGAATACTTTACACAAATTAATAATAAAAAATATGACCAAATTAATATCAATAGAATCAAAAGAGAATACTTAGAAGATTTTTATAAATGTTCACACCTCTCCAAAAACAGTAAAAATTGCAAACAATACACAAAAGAACAAAATATCTATCAACAATTAGAAGTCATACCTGAATCAACTTATAATGTCATCAATGCTACAATTAAAACTGATCTTATAGCTCAACAACAAGATTAATTATAACAATTATTTGATGAATATGTTGACTTGTTTAATACTAAAATATCTGGTCACACTAATATTATACAATATGAAATTCATCTTGAAGAAACTCGTTCTATCACACTCAAATCATATACTAGAAAATTACCAATTGAAAATAAATTTCTAGAAGAAGAGATTCAAAAGATGTTAGAACAAGATATAATATTACTATCAGAAAGTCTATGATTAGCTTCAGTTATCATTGCCAAAAAGAAAAGTGAAAAATATTGCTTATGTATTGACTATCAACAATTGAATAATATCACTAAAAAAAATAGATATCCATTACCTTGCATTGATGAACTTCTAGATGTATTTCAAAGTGCCAAATACTTCTCAATTATTGATTTTACTGCTGGTTATTGACAAGTAGAGATGAAATCAGAAGATAGAGCTAAAACTGCATTTATTACCAAACAAGATCTATTCGAGTTTAATTTGGTTTAACAAATGCACTTGTCATTTTTTAATGACTGATGAATACTGTATTTAGAGAATATATTGACAAATTTATAGTTATTTATTTGGATAATAAACTGTATATTCTTCAACATCTTCAACAGCTTCGAAAAACTTTGGATAAAATTCGCATTGTTAGACTGAAAATACAATCAGAAAAATATCACTTTGAAAAAATCTCACTACCTTTTCTTGACTATATTATTGAAAAGAATAGAATCAAACCTGATCCAGCCAAAATTGAGAAAATACAAAGTTTTTCAGTATCCACTAATTTAATCACACTCAAAGATTTTGTTGAACTCACTTTATATTATCGTCACTTTATAAAAGATTTTGCCAAAATAGCATCACCTCTCCATCAACTATTTCACAAAGACAAATCTTTTATTTGAACTAATAAACAACAAAAAGTCTTTGAAAAATTAAAACAATATCTAACAACTGTACCAATATTGACATATTTAGATTTTGACAAACTCTTCATATTGTTCACTGATGCTTTTAAAATTGAACTTGGAGCTGTTCTATCACAAAAAGATGAGAATAATTTGAAAAGAGTAATTGCTTATGCAAGCAGAAGAGTCGCACAAGTTGAAAGCAAATATTCAATAACTGAATTAGAATATCTTGCTGTTCATTGAACAATCAAACTCTTTCATCCATATCTTCATTCTCATATACCATTCCAATTGATGACTGATCACACTGTTTTAACCTGGTTATTCAATAAACCTAATTCATCTGGAAGATTATCTTGCTGGATAATGGAACTTAGAGAATACAACTTTGAAACAATCCACAAAAAAGGCAGAATTCATTTCAATATAAATTTACTTTCAATAATACCACACACATCAGACAACAATAATCATTCAAAATAAATTTGAATGAATATGTTAAATTATACAATTACCTTGACTCACTCAAACTACTGAACAACCTCTCAATAGATCAAACCTGAAAATTTTTAGCCAAATTCAAACAATATTTTATCGACAAAAATCATCTACATAAAAGAAACAAACTTAATTTAAATTAATCACAACAAGTTATCAAAGTTATTAAAGTTAAAATTGTTTTATTTAATAAACATTCAATTGAACATTTTGGTATTAAAAACACATATCATTACATATACCAAAAGTACTATTGGTCTCAGATATACAAAGATATTGATAATTATATCAAAGCATATAACATATATCAACACAGAGGCAAAACTAAAAAGAACAATAAATTGATACCAATATTAGTAACTCAATCATTTGAGAAAATTGGTATAGATCTCATTGAATTGCTTCCATCAATATATACAATATTACAATTCTAAAGCAACTGGATTGAATTATAAACTTATTGAAATAGATGTTGATTGAATACCTATGTTATGAGATTACCTACCTGAGCCTGGAACTCATGATAATGCATTATGAATCTTGTGTATTAAAGTGTTCTTGTTTTGTTGTTAGTTTTTGACCAATAGTGAGGCTTGATGTCATAATTAATTCTCGTGATTTTTATACGTCACAGTAAATCTGATTGGTTGGTGATCTAAAATTTAATTTACCAATGATTGTGATGGCACCAATCGTGGCTGGGCATTACTCCGCTTTAACGATATCCTGTTTATTAAATCATTATTTTTGCGTTCATCGGATTGCATGTGAGTGAAAATCAGGTGATCAACGATTAGCGATGCAAGTGGTGCGTTATTTATGCGAGCCACTGTAATTTAAGGGGTAAATCGGATTGTCGGTATCGGAATCGGAATCACATGAACTGCCATTGAAAATATTGTAGGGGTGTGTATATATAGAAAAATCGCAGTAATTTCGATCCATAAACACCACCCCCGTTTTTTAGAGTCCAGTATTTTTATTTTAATCCAGGTAAACACTTAGAAACCAAATTCGATTATGAATATATTACCGCATAAGAGGTTTGCTGTTTAATACCTTCTTTTGTTTTTCAAGTAGTAGTAATGCTCAGTACAATGGCTACTTTTGTAAAATAGTTATCACGTATATAATATAAAGAATCGAGAGAAAGTTAGAAAAGATGAAGAAAAAGCAAGACAAGATTCCGAGGCTAAAGCCGAGAGAGCACTCTTAGCGGTAAGCATAAACAAAAGGTTCGTCAAATCATAACATGTGTCATTGGCAAATTGGTAGTTAACTTCTAATATTTTTATTGGTTAGGAGCGAGAACATCGACTTAATCTTCTTAGACAACGTGCTAAACAAAGAAACGAAGGTGTAATTACATCAGAGACAACTATAACAGCAATAGATAATAATAATCCACTTGAATCATCGACCGAGAAGTTATTGGTCGCATCTTCTTCAGCCGAAACATCTTTATCTTCAATAGTGAAAAATGCTATTCAGAAGCAAGTAGAAGAAACTGCTATAGTATCAAAGAGTAACGATAATACAGAAGGGCATATCAATTTTTGGGCTGAACTGGAAGAAAATGTATGTATTGTCAAGTTTTAGTCTTTTTTGATAATTCTATTTAAGAGCTTTTTTTTTATAATAGAGTTTGAAGCAAAAAGTATTGACTAACCCTGAATATGAGGCTGAAAAGAAGGCCAAGGAAGATAAATGGGAAAGGACAATTACCATGTATCTTGATGATGTTTCTAAAGGTATAATTCATTATTAATGCTTCAATTTAAAAGATTAAATTATAATCGATACATTTGATTATTTTTTTTTAGATTTAAAACCATGGTACAATTCATTATCATTGTCAGATGCGCGAAAACTAGAAGAGGAAAAAGAAAAATTGAAAAAGTATGCACTTCTATTCCCAATTATATAATTCTTATATATCTAAATAAACCTCATAATTTTATTGAAGATGTAAAGAAGATAAATTTAAATTACGCAATGATCCTTTGACTTCAATCAATCATCTTATCGACAAGAAATCTCAAAAGAAAAAAACTATTGAGGGTTTAAAGAAATATTGTTCTATTGTAAAGGTAAAAAATCTGATATTATTTTTTCTTCATTGGAAAATGCATATTAAAATTTATCTTTTCGCGAGTATGTTGACATTCATTTATTATTAGGGAATTGAATCGTCTTCTGAATCGTCAAATGATCCAATGAAAAAAATAGAATTACTTCGTGCCCAGCGAATACAAAGAGAGCGCCAAGAACGCTTAAAAGTTCGACAACTTCTAAATCCAAACGCTACTAGTAATAATGAAGAAACAAAAAGTTATAATTCACAATATAACCCGGAAGCCACTGATGCTGCTCATCACTTTTCTGGAGGCGATAGATATTCGGATTATCGAGATAGGGACAGACATTCCGAAATCCGACATACAGATTTTCGGCATTCAGATTATCGACATTCTGAGCGTCGGCATTCTGATAGATATTCTGAGCGTCGACATTCAGATAGATATTCTGAGCGCCGCCATTATAGTAGACATAAACCATATCCATAATCAACATAATCAGAGATGAAAGCTAAACATAATTTATTCAGATAGATAGAAAGAGTTTCTCTGAAAATGGGATCGATCTCGCTATGTGAAAATAAATGAATGATATATGATATTTAGCTGCTGCTAAATATTTTAGAGTGAGATTATCTACTGATAAAGTCGATCTGGAGATATTCATTCTACTATTATTGCTAAACTCGTTTTTCAATTAACGTTAATGTGTATTCCATGGTTTTATTTGATGATATCAGCAAGGAATTTTTTACCAATAGTTAAGAGTTAGATTCCAAGTATAGTTTTGATTTCTTGTTTCATATTAATTATTAATTATTAAAAAGTAATAATATGAGACAGTGGAATTGTAAAAAAATAATAAATATTTCAATCATGTGCTCTAGATAACAGATTGGAATTGTATCAAATTTTTAATTAGAATTCACTTGTGAGTTTTAAAATAAGAATAAATGTAATTGTAACAATTGTTATTTGTAATAACCACCTGAGTTAGGGTTAAGCTTCTGAATATGTGATTGGTTAATATTGAAGTTGTTACAATTAGATTGATCCTTAAAATAATATTTTTGAAAAAATGCAAAATAATATGAAAGATGATAGGCTAATTCATTGACCACAATTTGGTTTACGGGGAATTTTGGCATAGTGTCATGTCTGGTTATTAGACTTTTTAATGTAAGCTGAGATTTTATTGTGATAAAAATATTAGATCTTGAATTAATACTATGAAGTTAGAATAAGCGTTAAACAAGTGTATGCATATGTAATTGAGCTTTGATTTATGTATTAATTTGGAAACAGGTGATGGTAAATTTTTGATTTTCTTTCTTGTTTATATAATAATTTGTTCATAGACGGTATTTAGAGAAGCGTGATAACTCGTCAAAGTTATGATGGAAATGATTGCTTTAATATTCGCGATGTGTAGGGATGGAGTGGAACCGATTCCTTTATGCGTTTAGGAATAATAAAGTACGACATATCATATGGTCAGTTATGCAATTAGTTTTTTCTAATGGCAGTTATATATCAATAATAAAATCAAAACGTTCTCGTTTTAGAGATTGACTAAAAATACTTCGTGACAAATATTAATGATCCGAACAGTCTATATAACGTATAAAAATACAAACATATTCATGTAATAACAAAAAATAAAAGTGACCACAAAACCCAATCTTGTCACTCAAATATCTGGTATTATATTATCGTTACTTTTTCCTATAGTATCTATGACAGTTATAAATCTCCTACTTGCAATAGATTTTGAACCATCAAGATTATAAAAAGGATTGCACACTTGCTTGATGTATGCGTTATGTATTTTATAAAAAATCTGATTAAAATATTAAATATTGAAAGATGAATGAGATACTTGAAGAAAGAAGCGAATAAAAAAATAATGGTAACAATTCATACGTTTTTCATCTCAAGGTCTCTGATTATGGCATCTGGAACTGCTAGCACTATTACAAATTTCACCCGTGTATTAGTCAAGTAGCCATATCTAATTAAAATTGATTTTTTTTAATGTTATTTCGATTTTATGTTTGAGACTGAAATCAAAAAATTAAAATCAAATATATTAGCTACTCACACAGCTAAATCTTCCATTGCGTATAAAAGACCAAGATAAGCGTCGGTGGTTTTGGGTCCAGAATTTACTTTTCTCATGGATTATTCGTTAAATCATTTGTTAAATCATTAATATTTTCGGAAAGATTATTAATTAATTCGCGTAAGGTTGCATTTATTCACCTCGTTCCTCGATAACATCACATGAAGTATGTGCAATGTAATGATACTTTAAATCTGGATGTGTTGTGCTGAAATTTCGTATGTATAACGGATTGTTCTTTATTTTATTGTATCAATTTGTTATATTTATGATAGTAAATTCATGATAGGTAATAATTCATTAGAAGAAACACAACTAACGAGTCATTTCAATTGAATTGCATTGCAAAAGGAGAAAAAAATACTTTTAAATTTTCATTATTATTTAATAATGCCTTACCTTTTTTCCTATTATTGCAATACATTGGATTTTTATGTTGCTTCCGGCATTAGAGATTGAAGTCATTTGTATATATTTTATTTCTCGTATTTCAATTTATTGGACGAGAAAATTAAAATTTTGGTCAAACGCAAATCATGTCCAAAGAAATAATGATGCGTGTGAAACAAATTTATGCCAGTGGTGAACATAACAATGCAAATTTCATCAAGATGATATATGTATTATTTTATATCGATAGGACTAAGTATAATTTTTACGGATTTTCTTTTTTACAGGTTCTATCAGCAAATCTTTATTTTTCGGCTTGACTGAGATTAAAGTCTTTTTAGTTGATGAGAATGTCTTATCCAACGGTATTAATCCATTATCCCCCAACTTATTATCATTCATCGATGCTGTTTCATGTCGATTTTCGAAAACTTTTAAATCTGCCGCAAATAAGACCTGCCAGAATTTATTTCAATAAACTAAATTTTATTTATAGAAACAAAGACAGTAAGGGAAAGATTTTACTCACAGAATGTGCCCAACCACTATAATCTCCAAATAAAGTACGAAAATGATCGCTAATTTCTTCATACATTCGATTGGTCAAAGTTTTTGGAGATTTTCCCGGTTTGGTATCAAAACCATATTCACGCTTCGCAATTTGCCATACGTGAGTGTCTACCGGTATGGCATTCTGTTTATCGAGTGACATCAAACACTACATGATTCAAATCAAAAATGAACTACCAGATAACAAAAATAGCAATAATTGTCTCTTCTCTATAATTAACTCACCACGCAATCCGCAACTTTAGGCCCGACCTACAAGATAATGAAACAGTGATGATTGTCAGATAAAACTTGAGAGTTATCCAACATCATAATCGATTCCAAAACTTACACCAGATAATCGCAAAAGCGAGGAATGTGCATCCTTATAACTTGCATTTCGTAACGAGAATAACCATTTCTCTCCATCAGATATATTATTGAGGATATAATTGGCCGTTTGACTAATGTATTTTGCACGATAGCCAAATCCTAGTTTCTTTAATTCTTCTTCTACATTTGATCTCGCCAGTTTTTCAAGAGTAGGAAAATCAAAATAATCTTCGTTGTTGAGTGTACATATTTTTTTACCGTACTTGCGACATAATTTCTCAATCTAAAAAATTCAAATAAATGTTACTATAAATAAGAATTACAAAAGTACACCAATATCCTATTATTCAAACCATTTGCGAAATCCTGTTAATATTATTATTAGAGGAACAGATGAAGCAAATCAGATTTTCAACCGGATCTTGTCTCAATATTCTAATTCCCTGAAACTGTTGCGCCACCTTGGCAAAGTTTGGGTCGACAGCACTCCAACGAGCATAGCATTCACTCAGATTTAAATTTAATTGAAAATAATCGTGGAGGAATTTATACACACTATCCAAATCTTTCTCCGTCTGTCGAGTTTTTTGTTCTGGTTGCGATGACGTTGAAGAAGAAACTGTAGAATTTATTGGATAAGTTCTAAAGGATATACCTGATGCTATAAGAACAAAAATCCAACTAAAAATTAGACTTTTTTTAATACTGAATCAAACGCGTAGGCTAACCGAAAATCTTACACATTTGCCTCAAGGTTACAAGACGACCCTTGAAAGCACACGACCTTAAAACAAATCCAATAGCAGATACATTTTTATATTCTTCAATAGAGCAAAGATGCTTAAAGTCGCGTCGATAACGCAAAAAATTTAGTTTATTCATAGAAAGATCATTATTCACAAGTTAGTACCATTCATTTTCCCCCGAAACTTTCCAACGAAAGGATTGGCCACATTTCAGTGTAGTCTCTAGTCTAAGCTCTTCAGGAGCAATCTGCAAGTAGCGCCAAATGGAAGACATTTATTAGGGTAAAATTTAGAAATGAATTTTATTGAAACTCTTAAAAGTCGCGTTATCAATATCGAAATTTGACAGTGCTCAGGTTTTACGTCACCTTTGGTGCAACAAAAGTACCAAATATTTAACATCATCATTAATATGCTTCTACCACTAATTCCTCCTTTCCGCTATGCTATCGTCGAAGACGAAGTTTATCGCGGTTCTCAGCCAAAGAATCTGAATTTTAGATTTCTTAAAAGGTACATAGATACTTGAGAAAGATTGGAAAATGGTTTTTTATTAACTTCTATTTTTTTTGCTAAAAAGGCTAAAGTTAGAAACTATTCTATCAATGATTCCCGGTGCCCCCGAACAAGCACTTGTGGATTTTTGCAAAGAACAAAATATTCGTATTATTAGTTTACCCGTTGCAAAATTCAAGGATAATGTCACCTTGAACTATAATAAAGCTGTACATGCTGTGCAGGTATTGACGTATATATAATCTTCACGAAATCTAAATCAGTGTAATTTAGTTCTTACGCGAGTCTAATAGATAATCATTGAACCTACAAATTTGCCTATTTACATACATTGTCTCGATGGTGGAAATGTAACTGGTCTAGTAATCGCGTGTCTCAGAAAGCTGCAAATGTGGAGTGTTTCTTCGGCGATAGGAGAATTTTTGAGGTATTGATTTCCTCTCTATCCTATTATTTTAATATACTGCTATTGGTTTATTTAAATGATCCTTTCTGTCGTTACAGATTTCTAAGTGGAGGAGTCATTTCATCAGAGGAAAGTGAATTTGTCGAAAAATTTAGGGCAGAGATTGAAATTCCTCGTCAAATTCCAAAGTGGCTTTGGAGGGGCCAGGTAACTTTCACCAAACATCCCACATTAAAATTGAAATTCCTGGACCCAGCAATTCTGGAATCTCCGGAGTCAAAACCCTATAAGGAAAAGAAAGGTGGTGCTGCTGGAGTTGGTACCAATACTGTGGGGGAGACAAATGATAATCAGAAATATCGTAAAAGAGTTAACAGTAAGTCTCTGATTCAGTTATTGTTGAGCCGTTTTTAGTTCTCTTTCAATCATCTTTGTTTCCATTAGACGAATTATTAGGAAATTTGTTGGAACCTCCTGCTAACGTGGCAACAGAATACGATGAACGCGATGAAGTTATTGAAGAGGAAGAGGATGAAGAAATCACAGAAGTATCTATGACACTTCAAGCCTTAGCTTTGGAAGGATTAAAGATATTAAATTAACATAATTATTTTTTCTGGAGCGAAAAGTTAAATTAGTTTAAAGTATCTAATCGTGGATAATGTAACACATATCAGTAATAGTATATACACACATTTTATCCTCATATCAGGAGAAACGTCACCACCATTAAGACACAACTACTGTTGGATTCCCAGTTTGTAAATGCACATCATGACTCAGTCCCAATCTTATAAGACCTCTAAATATTTTCTCTATATAAATACACAGTCTTTTTTAATATAGTTCCAAGGGGATTGCATTTAAGGAGGTTGCTCTGTATTTATATTTGGTTAATTTCTAATAAATAGTATTAGTTCATCAAAATTCAATTCATTATTATATGTATTAGCAGTTTCCTGCAAACATAGACTCAAAAACAGAGTAGTTATAATATACGAATGTAGTTATAATATACAAATATTATAACTAGAATGCAATTCACTTAGTTACATCATATAAATATCATTAACTTTGCAAAACTTTCAAATACTTTGGATTTTTTATCTGTCATATGTAATCACACTTATACCAATCATATAAGTAATGATCTGCAAATTTTTCAGCGTCTTTGATGTGACTAAGCAAATTTATTTATAGTTTAGGCAATAAAATCGTGTGATTTTCACCATGATCCATTTTCCACATTAATTGTCTTTCCATATTGAGGGCTGCACTAAACCCGTTTAATCCATCCAATAGAGGTGCGCAAATTTTTGTCAATCACCGGGACAAGATATGAAAAATGTAAGAAATGTCTTGGAATACTAAACAAAAATGTTAGGAAGGAAATTTTATATATAACCTTGTCCTCTAACTCTAATCCTTACCATTACCCTGATCTTATAAATCATTAATCGGTTGTGGTTAACCGCAAAAAAATTTTTAAAAAGTTTGTTACATACCATTGTTGATTGTTTGTCTGCTTTATAGTTTAGGGAATAGATTGCCAATCTATGACTTATAAATAAATAAAAGAATGCCTTTTTTAGATCGACCACTCGATGAAAGTGTGAAACTTTTCAAACAAAGCAATGTCAAACTATATAACCCAAACGGAGCTTGATAAAGTACTTCATCAAGATGCGTACACCAGTAAAAACACCAAGAATAAAAAATATAACCAAATTGACGAAAAACTCGACTCGGAAATAATATTCGAGTTCGGTGGACCATGGGGTGTTACTGCAATGATGCTTGGATTTCCAACCTTGATGTATTACATGTGGGGGTGCCTTTATTTCAATCGTGGTCAATTAGTATCCCCATTTAACCTTGAATTCTGGCAGTTGGTTGCGGAAGGAGCTTCGCCCACGTGGTACTCTACAAAAATCTACGTTGTATTCTGTCTGTTTGAACTGTTTCTCGCTTTCTATATGCCCGGCCCCATTGTCAAGGGTGCACCAGTTGCCCGCTTAAAGGGTCAAAAACTTGACTATATATGCAATGGTGTGACGTCCTGGTACGCCACTCTTATTACTTCATATATAGTGCATCATTTTGGATGGTTTCGTCTCACTGATTTGATTGATCAGTTTGGACATATCATGTCAGTTGCCATCATATCGGGATTTATTATCACGATTGTCGTATACACGAACGCCATTTTACAGGGAAATCAGTATCGTATGTCGGGAAATTTTTTTTATGACATTTTCATGGGTGCTGTTTTGAATCCGCGGATCGGGAAAGTTGACATGAAAATGTTTGCTGAGATTAGAATTCCATGGGTAATTTTAAGAATTATATGAATAATCGACTCAAATTCGATCATTGAGTATTATCACTATATTATCCCGGAACAGGTTATTTTATTTTACATTTCTGTGTCGGCAGCCATCAAAGAATACGAACTATTCGGGTACCTTTCCCCGTCAATGGGATTTATGGTTCTTGCACATTTCTTGTACGTCAACGCGTGTATGAAAGGCGAAGAATGTATTCCGACTACATGGGACGTGACCTATGAAAAAGTAATTTTAGATCTATTATTAATATGAATAGTCGTAATGTTTAAAATTTATGTTTACCTCCTTTCTCTTATAGTTTGGATTTATGCTGATCTTTTGGAATTATGCCGGAGGTATATAATTCTTTATTAATTTCTTCGTATTAGAGAATTTGTCGCATTAACAATAGTCTTTATTGTTTAAAGTCCCCTTCACGTATTGTTATTCGACCTTGTATCTGCACATTACGAGCATAGATAACGATGCACCTCTTCAGCATTCATTACCATGGACTATCTTCTGTTATTCGCTTTTACTCGCAGGCTACTATATTTGGTTATTAATAATCCAAAAAGATACTTCAGTTCCATTTTAATCTTCGAATAATTAATTATATTTTGTTACAACTATATAACATACAGGGACACTGCCAACTCCCAAAAGAATAAATTCAGAATGCTAGTAAACGGTAGCTACATCCCACGTCACACCTTCCCTCAACTTCCATGGGGCATACTTAAAAACCCCACCTACATAAGAACAAAACACGGTAATCTCTTGCTGACCAGCGGCTGGTGGGGCATCGCACGAAAAATCCACTACACGGCCGATTTGATGATGGCTTTCGCGTGGGGCTTCATCACCGGTTTTGAAACGCTGATCCCGTACTTCTACCCTTTGTTCTTTGTCGCAGTTCTGACCCATCGTGTGAGCCGTGATATTGAACGGTGCTCGAAAAAATACGGCAAAGATTGGGAAGAGTATTGTCGAAAAGTGCCATATATTTTTATCCCAGGTTTAATTTGACCCATTCAATCAAATGTGTGTGCATATTTTAGTATTTTTTCAACGTAATAAATGTAGTATTTACCAAGGAAAAAGCTTTTAATCTTTAAAATTAAACAAGCAGATATCAACACGCTTATCATTCTTAATTGACAATGGTAATTAAAAAAGCTATCTTATTTTCGTGTTGTTTAGCATACCAAAAAAAAAATACTCATTAAAATGATAATAATGATACTTGTCGTTTCACCGGTCTGAAAGATAATTTATTAAATTGGATGAAATAAAAACGCAACAGACGCGAAATAAAAATTCTACTTGCCTATTTCACCAAATACAATGTCCATAGTTCCAATTACTATAATAAAAGTGCAGTATGTTGTTAAAGATGAAAAAAAGTTATATTCTTGATAATTTTCACACGTTACTTACTTGCTACCATATCAGGAATAACATAACCGCGAGCCATGAAATCAGCACCGGCAAGATGAGCAAATCCAGGAGCACGAATCTTGCATCGATATGGTCGATTTGTACCTAAAAATAAGAACAAAAATCAATTATCATCATGCACATAATAAACACACTTACTGGACATAATTCATGGGACAAAATTTATTTCAATGCCAAAAAACAACGTAAATCCCCATCAGCCTGATAAACCAAACAAAAAAAAATTGGAGCTAAATTAATATGTAAATACCGGAGTAAATCAAAAAATTAGAATTGGTATTATTTTGCTTCGCTTACTTTGTTTCGAGTAATTACAGACTAACTTGGTTTCAGTTTTTTTGTTTGTTTATCAGACTGATGAGCATTTATACAGATTTTTGCATCAAAATGATAAAGATACCAATTTTTAAACAAATGTCCGTGATTCATGTCCAGTAAATGAAGTGTATATATATAGATAAATACGACGAAACATCAAAAACAACATACCATCAGAAACTAAATAAACACCAAATTCCCCTTTAGGCGCCTCAATCACCGTATAGGTCTCACCAGGCGGAACCGCATATCCCTCCGAGAACAACTTAAAATGATGAATTAATGCTTCCATCGATTCCTTCATCGCCGCTCGATTCGGCGGCGAAATTTTCCAATCATCAACTTTAATAGGGCCACTCGGCATCAGATTCAAGCACTGATGTATAATACGTAGGGATTGTCGCATCTCTTCGGTACGACACAGAAACCGATCGTAGCAATCTCCTGTTGTGCCAACAGGCACGTCAAATTCCATCCTATCGTAGACCTCGTACGGTTCTTCCTTTCTAATGTCCCATTTTATTCCGGATCCTCGTAGCATCACCCCGGAAAAGCTGTAATCGAGTGCTTCTTGGGCAGTTACTGTTCCGATTCCGATCGTACGCGCTTTCCAGATTCGATTGCCAGTCAAAAGTTCTTCAAATTCATCTACTCGAGATGCATATTGAGTTGCCCATTGATATATATCTTCCAATAGTCCGATAGGCATGTCTTGTGCTACTCCTCCAGGACGTACATAAGCTGCATGCATTCGCGCACCAGATACTCTTTCGTAAAATTCCATCAACTGTCGGAAAACGTCAGATTAAAAAAATTACGTAATAAAAATTTATAGCAAATAATCAATTAAAGGGATTGAAACAAGTTTAGAACTCACTTTTTCACGTTCCTCAAACATCCATAAGAATGGTGTTAATGCTCCAACATCTGATAATAGTATACATTGTGGTATTATTAGAAATAGCACAAACTAAACATATTATCATTTAATATATGTAATACCCAGAGCATGAGACATAAGCGCCATAATATGATTCAGAATCCTCGTTATTTCACCAAAAAGAGTTCGAATAAATTTCGCGCGTTCCGGAATATCAATATTCAATAATTTTTCCACAGCAAGTGAATATGCTTGTTCATTTGTCATCATAGACACGTAATCCAACCGATCAAAATATGGAAGCGCTTGAAGGTACGTCTTGTATTCAATCAATTTCTCGGTGCCTCGATGAAGAAGACCAATATGAGGATCAGCACGAACTATTTCTTCACCCTTCAGCTCTAGAATTAGACGCAGCACTCCATGGGCGGCGGGATGTTGCGGTCCAAAATTAATTGTATAGGTTACAGGTGATGTTTCATCATCGAAGTCTATAAGAAAAATAAATAAATATCCATTTACCAACATGTATTTTCATGAGTAAATTTATCATGCATCAACTTATCTTGCAAAATTAACTAACCTACAGGCTGACTTTCAACGCCCATGACGGAGGCTTAAGATAATTCAACATTAAATGTATAACAAAATTTAGATGCAGTCAGCTTAAGGTACTTTTGAAAACCTCTTCCGGCCAAAAAATAGGTTCATTTATACCCAACCGCGTAATAAGTCCAAATCGACTGGATGCGGTTCGATTTTTCCCTTAGTGGTAACAGCAATCGCGTAAGGATCATGCTTTTTCTTTACAGTAGTAGCATAACCTGCTCTTTTATGAAAGAATTGTTGGCATTTTTCAAAACGGCGGTGGTGTGAATTGAAGCCACTTGGTACAGTCCAATACGAAGAGGTAATCTGTGTAGTAATTGGTGTATTAATTCGTGAGGTTAGGTTTGCTGTTGCTCTTTTACACAGATTTGTGAAGCGTCCAAGTAGCATATTTCCTGATAATCTCGAGATTAATCGATTTTCTTGCAATTTATGGTTTGAAGTTACACGAATCGACATTACATTTCGATTTTGCTCACGAATATCAAAAATATGGAAGGTGATTTATTTAGTATTATTTCTCGAGGTGCTAAATTCGATAAACGTCGATTTGGCAAGGATATTGCATTGTTTAAGGTAAATTCAGATAGAAATTAATTAGATAATCGTGTAATCAATCAATCGATAATAAATTTTACCTTTTCTATAATAAAGCCACAATCATCATCTACTCAAAATTACGATTATGAAGTCGAAAAACAAGAAAAAAAGGATAATGATGATATAAAGCCTCGGGGAAAAAGGAAAAGAATTACACAAGATAGTATTGATATTGATTCGAGTATCCGGTTGTTGCAAGAGATTGATTTCTTTCAGAATAGTCGACAGGCACTTAAATCTGTCTTGATTGGGTTGTGTGATGATAATGATAATAAAGATCACGAAAAAGACAAAAGTAAAGAAAAATCAAATAAGCTTGAGAATGGTGATGATGACGATGAGGAAGAGGATGAGGAAGAAGTTGATAGTGAGGATGATGATGACGATGAGGAAGAGGATGAGGAAGAAGTTGATAGTGAGGATGATGAAGATCAAGATGAAGAAGAGGATGATGAAGAGAAAGAGGAATATGACGATGACGATGACAGTGATGAAAGCGTAGAGAATGAAAAAATCAATGTAGCAGGTATAATTATTTAATATTAAAATAAAAACTAATTATGTACATTCAAAAATCTAACATGTAATATAACAAAATATAGAGAAAACTAAAATTCAAACAGACTTGAAAGCTAAAGAAGAGCAAAAACAAGAGTCAAAAATAGGTGCAAGCGTAAATTCCTTTAAGAATCAGGAAGAGGTCATAAACAAAGAAAGATTGTCATTATTTTTGTTACTATGTATTATTCTCTTTAAGTCTGATTTCAAATTCCAATAGGTCCAAACTTTTCGTAAAAAACACCGAATTCGGGTATACGGAACGGACATCCCTTATCCATTCAGATCATTTCAGGATCTGGTCACCCAATATGAAATTAAACCGTACTTGCAAAAGAATCTCCAAAACGCGGGATATTCACTGCCAACTCCGATACAAATACAATGTATTCCTGTGTCATTGCATGTAATGTAATTTGTATTTTTTTACTTGTAGTGGTTATTTTATAATTATTTTATGGAGCATTCAGTGTTGGGTAGTGACGTATTTTTATATAAGTCCAGTTGCAACACTGGAAGCATTATTGGTAATTGATGAATGTAATATGGTTTTTTTCGATTAAAGGAACGCGATCTAATGGGATTGGCACCTACAGGATCCGGAAAGACGCTCGCGTATCTATTACCAATATTGCATGATTTGAAAGGTCCCGAAAAGATGGGGTATCGTGCATTGATTATCTCTCCTACGCGCGAATTGGCACAACAGGTTTGTATTTTTTTTTTTGATATTGTGCTCTTAAGAAGTTGTGTTGTTTTGGCATTAATATTTAATCAATAAAATTAGATTTACCGAGAAATCAAAAAACTGAGTATTGGCAAGAAATTCAAGATTTGTATGCTTACAAAGGCGAGTGCAGCCACAATTGCACAGACTCCTCAGTTGAGACAGAAATTTGGTACGGGAAAAAATTAAGCTTTAGATTGGCAGGATGTGATTTTTCAATTACTATTAACCTATTAATTTTTATATTGATTTGACGTATCCTTTCTAGATATACTAATTAGCACACCACTTCGTCTTGTTCACGCAATTTCAAAAGAAAATATTGAATTAAAAAAGTAATTAATTTTTTTTAAGTATCAATTGTTTCCATAAAGTAAATAATTTCAATCTATTCATATAATGCGCGTATATATAGTGTTCGACACTTAGTTCTTGACGAAGCAGACAAACTATTAGAACTCGGATTTTTAGAACAGACAGACGAAATAATAAACGCGTGTTCGAATCCAAGAATTGTAAAGTCTTTGTATAGTGCTACGTTGCCTTCGGGTGTCGAATCTTTAGCTAATACTATTATGAAGGATCCTATTCGTGTAGTTGTTGGTGTAAAGTAAGTCACCAATTCCCATATACTAATTCCAATACGAAGAAAATACTAATCCTATTATCGCAATTATCATTATGATAAAAAGAAATGCGGCAACTGAAACCATAAAACAAAAATTGTTATTTGTCGGTCAAGAAGAAGGAAAACTAATCGCGATTCGACAGCTAATTCAACAAGGATTTAAACCACCCGTGCTGATCTTTGTGCAGTCGATTGAACGCGCAAAAGAGTTGTTTCATGAATTGATTTATGATGGGATTAGTGTTGATGTTATACACTCGGAGAGAACAAAAGCTCAGGTGAGAATTTAGATTATTTTTTTATCGTATATTTCTTGATATTCTGATGTATTTTCCGTAATAGAGAGACTCCATAGTCCTCAACTTTATGCAAGGAAAAATTTGGGTCCTCATTGCCACCGAATTAATGGCACGCGGTATGGACTTCAAAGGTGTAAATTTGGTGGTGAATTATGATTTTCCGCAGTCAGTTCAAAGTTATATTCATCGTATTGGAAGAACTGGACGTGCGGGTAGAAACGGGGAAGCTGTTACTTATTTCACAAAAGATGATGCTCCTTTTTTGAAGAGGTTTTATTTTCTCTCTTTTTATTAAATTATTCAATTTGAATTATTAATTTAATTGATTCGATTTAGTGTTGTAAATGTAATGAAGGAATCTGGATGCGAAGTTCCAGACTGGATGCTCACCCTAAAACCACCACCACAAAATTCCAAAAAGCAAGTACGTCAGAAACCAATTGATCGACACAAGATCAGTACTGTTTCGAAATATGATTTGGAAAAAATTAAACGGAAAAGGTAAGTTTTCTTTTTGAGGAGATATTTTAGATTTCTCGACTTGGTTTTGATTGTTACATATTTTATTTTTGAAGGGAGATCATCGAAGCTTCGAAAAAGCGAAAAGCTACTACTGCCAGTGATATTCAAAGTACTGAAAAGAACAAAAGAAATAAATCAAAAAATAACAATTCTACTAATATTAAGGATCAAGAAGATAATAGTTACGGAACTAGTGATGCTGAAAAGCCGAAAACGAAGAACGTAAAGTCTAAATTAGATATAAAGTGAATGTCGTTCAATATGTCAATTAAACTTAAATTCACTTAAGGTGGAAGTTCGATATTAGATTTTAAAAATGTGATTCGGCCTTTATTCGAATATGAATGATTTTCTAATATGAAGATCAAATTGCTAATCCGGGTCAAATTAACCCAGATCATAACTGGATTTACTCGATCCGAATTGCACTATCCGGCTTTAGTGTTCCCCTATCGCTATATATAAAAGACAATTATATATACGGTAAAACACCAGACTGTCAAAAAATCACGTGAGTGTTACGCACAATCTTCCGGGACCCGAAAAAAAACCCAAAAATAATAATAGTCAATTTCAATCTGGCATTTACCAATATATAATCATGTAAATGTGACAAGTACAACATAGATGGGGAAAGCTACGAGATTTAAATATCTAATTTCTCGAATAACTGAATAATAATCATCAAAAAATGTCGTGATCAAACTTATACTCTATACATTTAGTCGTCGAGAATTATCGTCATGTTAATGAAATAATCAACTCATCTCAATTCTTAACAACAGCTATTAGCGTATATCAGAAATTAAGATGTATGAACTTTTGTATTCAACCAATAAAATAATAAAAAATGATAAAATAATATAATACAAAATAGTAGCAGCGTTTAAAGATTAAAGGTGAAAATCATCTCTTGCAAATATAACATATAAATAGATTAAAATATAAACTTCCTTAAATCTCGCTTCCTATTCGACGCGCTAATCTTTGATACCCTTCAGTAGCTAATTTTCGCCGCCGCCATACCAAGAAACTACATGTAACTACTGCTAAAAATACATTGAAGAACTTTATCAAAAATAAAAAAATGAATATAAAAAAATTATTGATAACTTTTCATTACAACAATATATAGAAATAATATAAATTATTGGTCCAAACCTGAAATTTAAAAAATCTCAAAATCTCAACACTTTTTACGCGAGAACAAGTTTGGAAATTTGATATATGATCCACGGAGGAGCTTTGATTTGCTAATTGCGAGCGCCACTCGCAGATAACTGGTTGCTTATTACCAAACTGACAATAATCTTCAGTCTCCTAAATAAATGCATTAAATAATTAAAAAGCACAAAAGAACAATATAAATACAGGATTAAATGCGTTCGGAAAATACCATTTCTAGCACTGAACACGATTGACATTCGCCAGTGGGTCGACACGTATAATTTAAATTCTCTTTTGGATCAGTCGTATTTTCCTTTTTGCCAGAATCTGTATCGCCATCTTTAGTATCATTGTCATTACTATTATCATCATCATTGTTCTTGTTATCATTGTCATTGTTCTTATTATCATCACTATCTTCTTTGGTCTCGCTTTCAGGAAAATTTCCAGTTTCATTTTTATCATCATCATCATCATCATTATCATCATCGTCATCATCAAAGATTCCTTTATGTTCTTCTATATTAGAATCTTCAATTACACTTTGAATATTATGATTATTAACTTCTTGATGTTCTTCTATACTGAAATCTTCAATTACACTTTGACTATTATTATTCTCATCATCATCATCATCATCATCATCATCATCATTATGATTGTGATTATTGTTATTAATCTGAATATCATCATCAACACTTATAATATTTTCTTGAATATCTCCTTTTATTTCCTCGATATCAAATGGCAATTCTGATAGTTGATTCTCTTCCGTTTGTAACGTTTCTATATTTTGTCGACCTTTTATTTTGGATTGCGGCAGTACTGTTGATAATTCATTTTCCTTTGTAACATTATTCGTCGCTGTTTCGCCGTTATTCCTTGTATAACTAAAGAAAACTACTTTTGTTAGTTTGGTCGTATCATCAATTTCACGCGCTCTGGTGTTCTCTATCCCGATAAACCTGTAATTACGAAAGATGAGTACATATGTCAACTATATAGACAGGAGCCAATTATTGTGAAAATTCACGTTTTTATTCCTCTGCTTACATAGAATGGCATAAAAGTGACGAGACTATAATTGACTTTGCTCTCATTGTAAAGATGAAATGAAGGATAAAATGAGTATGAAGTGTGGTATATCGATATATCGAGTTTTTTTGGTCAATCGTGGATGATTGGGTAAGTTTAAATTAAATCGTGGCGATGTTCAGATTCAAGTCGCACCAAATTTCAAGACACAAACGAATGTCGATTTTGTGGCGAGAAAACGAAGTGTTATTACTTGATTAAGAGAAAGCAAGCCTGCCCAAAGAAACATCATAACAAAATACCTTTCCTAAGAATGTATTCTTCTACGCTATATAAAGATAAGGAAATTTTGGCACCAATGGTATGGTATGACTTCTTTTTAAATAATTTGGAAATGCCGAAATTAGTAACATATAAACATTTTTGTAGATAGGTCAGAGTAGGAACTCTGCCTATGCGTTTACTTGCATTGCAATTTGGGGCGGGTATTGTATCGAATATAAATATATCTAGAAAGATAAATAAAAATTATGAAGAGATGTATGTATTCTAACTTTTTACTCTTTTAATAAGATTTGGTGTATTCGCCTGAAATAGTAGATAAACGTATTATTACTTCGATACGCATTTTTAATGGTAAATATTTTGTGTATAAAGTGATTTTTTGATATAGCAGAATAATAATATATAGATCAATATTTGACAAAAACAGAATCAAATGGTCTAGTCACTTATCTTGACCCGCAAAGTAAATCCACATGTTTCCAAACACACATCTCTGAAAAACCAAAATTGATCTTTCAAATTGGCACTGCGGATCCTGAACTTGCTCTTCAGGCAGCCTTGACTGTGTAAGTGTAATGAAGTGACGTAAAAAATAATAATAGTTTTGATTGACCTGAAAAATGATGGTTGTATATAACGATAATAGAAAACAAGATGTTACTGGTATAGATGTGAATTGTGGATGCCCGAAAAAATTCTCGATCCAGGGGGGAATGGGTGCTGCATTATTGTCAAAGCCTGATCTATTAAAGAAAGTAAGTACGAGTGATGAAATATGTTTTTTAGTCGGTCTTTTGTCATTGCTTAAGTTTACTTTTTTCTCATCTATCAGATCTTAACTAATTTAGTTCAAAACAGTGGACTTCCCGTGACTTGTAAAATAAGGTAAATAAATAATAATTCTTGAATCTGATAATTTGGTATTCCATTAATGATTTACTTGATCGCATATTTGACATCAGGATTTTAGAAACCAAAGAAAAAACGATTGAATTATGTAAAATGATCGAGTCTACAGGAGTAAGAGCGATAGCTGTTCATTGTAGGTACGCACGTATACACATTTTAATATAATGGATAAAAAAATATAAATTAGAATAAATGTTTTTCCAATTGTTTTAACAGACTGCGTGATGAACGACCACGTAATCCAGGACACTGGGATATCTTTAGAGATCTCGTTGAGAACATTTCTATCCCAATAATAGCTAATGGCGATATATTTACTCGAGCAGATATCACACGGCTAAAAGAAATTTCAAGCAAGTAACATAGTAAATAATTTAAACTATAAATCAGCCATAGAATTCCAAATTTATCCTTTGAACTTTTACGTAGACGTTAGTTCAGTCATGTTTGCACGAGGAGCGAAAAACAATGTTTCGGTCTTTTGTAAAGATGGTAAACTTTTACCATTACGAAAAGTGGTAATTCTATACGTTAAAAAGGTAAAATATTCAATTATCATTATTTGATTATTTTGTAACTTATTCAAATATAATAATTATACCAGGCAATCGAGTTCAACAATCACTTCTCGAATACTAAATATACTATAATGCAAATGTATGCTGATAACATCAAGGATTCAGAATACGATGCAGTTATAAAGGCAAAGTCATACGAAGCCTTTTGTAGAATTTTTGGGATAGAATTAGAACAACAGCATACCACGAATCCGATTTATGAGGATGATAATAATATTGAAGGTTGACGAATATAATAAATGAGGAAATCCTTCTCGATGTAATATTTAAGAACGAGAATATTAATGGTTTACAAGCTCTAAATTAAATTAAATATCACCCAATAAGAATGATATTCAATCGCTATTATATAAATAAAAGTAGTTGCCATTTGAAATAAATTAATTTATTTTCGATTTAAAATAAATAATTGCTAATTAGATAAGAAAGTGTCCTTTTCAAAACACATCCGGACCGTTAAAATTCCCTAGAAAAGAAATTTCGAGTTATTAATATTTGATCATTAAATCGATGATGTCCCTATTTGAAAATTACTACCATGCATTTGTCATATACTTCTGAACAGCAAGTAGCGCCTGATATCGTACGTCCGGATCCTCATGAGTCATCAGTTCCATTATTCGTTGTTTAGCGCCAATCTCTTGGAGAAATCTATTATTAATTTATTGATTATAATCCAAGATTTTTGTAATTTCAGTTTCATGAATATTGCTGTCTTGCATAATTCTACATTTTTTTCTTACTTTTTACCACTTGTGCAATATTTTACATATTGTCCTAGATCATGTGCCGCTACAGATAAAACTAGGTTGTCACTTGAGGTGCTTAATATCCTGGCCAGAATTCTATAGCAAACCAAAAAGCTTTTGTTAATAAGAATTCCAAATAAAAAAAAATTTTCAATTTTTACCTCAATAATTCGTAATCTTTTTCATTCAACTTTTGCGCATTCTGTTTCCAGAATTGTTCCGATTGATGCGGTGGCGACCAATGCAACATTCCTGACCGAATTTCCGATGCGTACACATCAAAAGTCCTGCACGATAAAAGTATTGTGCACTCGTGAAACTTTGACTATTTTATTTTTTTTTTGTTTGTTTTTTGTGAATTAATTATAAAGAGATGTAATAAAATGTATAGTTTAGGTCGTTGTCCTCCTAATACATACGTGAGACTTTGAAAGTTCTCTAACAGTTGCGTTTTCAGAAATTCAATGTCCTCTACTATTTCGGTGTCGGACCATTTTCGACCAGATAAGTTCTCCAGGAAGTTCAAGAGTTTTGCGACCAACATGGCAGGAAAATTCTCTTCCGGAGCTTTTTCTATCATATTCTGTGAAATTTTTATTAATATATTATTAGAATGACTAGTTATTCATTTGTCATTTATTAATATAAATAATAAATACCCGAAAAGTCCCGATAATCACGCGAATTATTTTTTCCTTGATAGCACTTTTTGCTATATCAATTAATGTTGGAATAATATCATATTTCCTAATTAAAAAAAAAATTAAGAAAATCTAAATTTACAACAGAACAATTTAAAAAAAAAGAACACGACAATTACTTGTTGAAATTAGCCGCAATTTCACCATCAAAAGTCAATAGCCAAAAACAGAAAATAATCTGATACAGCATTTGAGGCGTAAGATTTCTCTCTTTGAGTAAATAAACTAGACTATAAAGAATATGGGATTCAATTTACGATTAAAATTTCAACGGTCTAAACATAATGAATGGATTTACTTGTCTAATGCTTGCGGGGTATTCCAAGTTTTTTTCCGATATTCTGGTACTTTTAATATCGATCCTAGAATTTGCACGCCGAGGTCAGACACATGATTATTATTGCTTTTGAGCTTGGAAACAATCCATTGAAAAAATTCAGTGAAATCCAATGGCGGTTTTGGAGCAGTACTTTTTTTTTGATAAAGTGATCAAATAAGTAACTTGCTCTTGTAATCGCATGCCATTATGAGGCAAAAATCAAACCGATTAAATAAATAACAAAATCAAAGATGTTTATAAATACCAGACCAATATAGTAAGTATCTTTGCGGATGCTAATGGAATAAAATCATCATCCCTAGTAAGAATCCTAAATAATCAAATATATATTCCAACATTATAGATAACAATATATTCTTAGATATGAAGCATGTAATAATCGGTCATTGACTTACTTTAGAAAAGGACGATAAGGAAGTTTAGGATCTTTTATGGTTGTATTATGAAAGTAAACGGCGCGTTTCTCGTTTTCTGAGGTTAGCCATCAATTAATTCATTATTTCTTTTTCTCATTTCATATTTACAGGAATTACCATACCAGACAACATATCACTAATCAACACCAGAATATGCTGCACCGTGTCAATACGCATCGTCCGCTCTAAAAGACTAATATACAATTGGGCATATTTATCACCATCCTATATTAAATTTAAAATTATAAAGTAACAGCAGCCAATTTAATAAAATCAAAAGCTGACGATTTCTCGTGAATTTGCAATTACCTTGTCTAAAATGGTTTGAAGTTGCTCACGACTTATATTTTCAACTGCTATGATAAGTTCAAACTCTTCATGTGTGATGATATCAGCGCGTTGATAGCCCTAAAGACATAAAATTCAATAGTACATTATTAGTCTGGCATAATAATTGTGGGTAACAATGTTTGATTTGATTGCAGAAACAAACCTCCCAAGGAATTGGTCTTCGGCGCATTGTATCTGTAAATTCTTCAAGATAGGAATTTGAAACAAATACCATTGGAACTTTGTTAATAACTTCATTTGAATTGGAATTGGTGGTGGACATTTTGCTCGAGAGAAATTTCAAAAAACTAAAAGAAGATAATCAATTTTCTCAATCACAAGATGTAGAAATCTAATCATTGATAATTTAGCGTTAGAGGTTCAAAAAAGTGAATGTGACATGATTCCAATCCCGATGCATCGGTATTGGAATCATGTGACATTCACTTTTTCGCCGTGGTTAGGGCATCAGCGACTTTAGAAAAAATGTCAAAGATTAAAACGTTTGACAATCAAAATAGGCTGCCGAAGCTTCCCGTTCCTAAACTTGACGAAACAACCTCAAGATATCTTCGCACTCTTCTTCCTTTACTTTCTGCAGAAGATTTCGCACGTAATGAAGCCTACGTTAAGGACTTTTTGAAACCGGGCGGACTTGGAAATCTGCTTCAACAACGCTTAATCGACCTTGACCGAGGTTCTCCTTATAACTGGCTGGACGACAACTTTTGGACCCAAAAGGCGTATCAAGAGTGGAGGGTACCTTTGATTGTAAATTCTAACTGGTACCTCTTATTTATTGACGACAAGAATACTCCTAAAGAATATTTATCAAAAAATAATAATGGGGTTCCTCCGCGTGGAGAATTTTCTGAATTTCAAGTGAAAAGAGCCGCTCACTTAATTTGGAAAATGTTGGAATTCAAAGAATTGATCGATAGGTATTGTATTTTATATATATATTGACAATTAAAGATCATATATCATATATGTTTTTACTTGGCTATTTAATCATGAGATGAATCATTCATTACTCTGATTTTTCAGCGAAAATCTTTCACCTGAGGCAACTCGTGCACATCCCTTGTGCATGCATCAATACAGACGTTGCTATGGCGTTACTCGTATACCACAGCACGGAAGTGATTCCTTTTTTTATGCACCTCACCCATTTCCAGGAAAAACTGTATTAATCATCGCCAAAGCACAATTTTATCTTATTGAGGTCTACGATCAAAATGGTCAAATTTTGAGCGAGGGTGATATTGAAAAGTAACTATATATGAAGTGCTTTAATTATCATGTTGTTTAGAAATCACTTAATTTTTGATTGTTTTCCTTTAAGGCAACTAAATGATATAATTTGATTGTTTTCCTTTAAGGCAGCTAAATGATATAATCAAAGACTTACGTAACATGAACACAGAGCTGGATTTGCCTGTTGGGGTTCTTACAGCAGACGATCGAGATAAATGGACTGTTGTAAATATTGTCATCACTTTTCAAATAATATAATCGAAATTTTTTTAAAAAAAATTATTTTATAGGCGCGTGAACATTTACTGACATTATCACCACAAAATCGGGAAACTCTGAATAAAATAGAAGATTCATTGTTTGCAATTAGCCTGGACGATTACGCCACCGGCCTAGATCTCGATCTATGGACTCGAAATATCTTACACGGTTTTAATGGTCACAATCGGTGGTTCGATAAAGCTATGTCTATTATCGTAGAAAGCAACGGACGTGCAGCAATGAATGGCGAAGTAATATATATGATAATATATTTAGTTATGAAAGAGAGACAATAATTAACTCATCTTTTCGCTTGATCCCTGCTGTACTAACACTGCCAGCATTCCCCATGTGACGCGCTTATACCGTCCAATATAGCCGACTATACTCTTAAAGATTCCACACTGCTGTCTGCAAAACTTTCCGGGCGTCCTATCCCGCCACCCGAACGAATACGATTTGTTACTAACAATCAAACCAAGTCTTTTATTCGAGAAGCGGAAAATAGGATTAAACCAATTATTGAAGATTCGGATACTGTGATGTTACACTATTATGAATACGGTGCTGATTTTATCAAGAGAACTGGTAATTTGTATTTTTTTTCTTTGGTTTATTACAAGTCGAAGGTTTTAAACGATGATCTTCTTTTCCGTATATATCTAATTCGATTATTTAATAAACTAGGCAAATCTTCACCAGATGCCTATATTCAAATGGTTCTTCAACTTGCCTATTATAAATTGCACAGAAAAGTTTGTGCCACATATGAGACTGGCTCAACTCGAAAATATAAGCATGGCCGCACAGAGACTATAAGAACACTTAGTGTGGAATCCAAAGCATTTGTAGAAGGCATGGTGAACGATAGTTTATCGGTAAATAAATTTTGCCATTATTCCTTTTGTATGAGCATTTACAGCTCACTAATAAATTATCCTAATCATAAAATAGGCACAAGAAAAATATAATCTTCTTCAAACAGCGACTAAAGCACACTCTGCTTACACGTACGATGCATCAGACGGTCGTGGTTGTGACCGTCATCTGTTAGGTCTTCGACTTTCACTAAAGGGGGACGAGTCTCATCCTTTGTTTAGTGATCCGGCGTTTGCGAAAAGTCAAGAATGGTTACTAAGCACAAGCGGGTTAAGCGCCGGCGATCGATTTAATGGTGCGTATAAATTATAATTATAATTTTTCTTGTTAATGCTATTATTATGTAATTAATTACATTGATTCCGAATATTATCCTAATTGAATTTTAAAGGCAGTGGATTCGGATGCGTATATCCAGATGGCTATGGTATTAATTATCAACCGGGCAATTACGTATTAAAGTTTGGAATAGAGTCTAAAAAATCTTCGACTCAGACAGATTCAAACTCATTTAGGGAAAGTGTGAAAAATGCATTAAAAGAAATGAGTGACATTTGCGAAAAAGTTAACGGGAGATATGTAAAACAGCAAAAAATATAATTTGTTGATAATCTTTGATAGTTTTACCAAAAAAAAAATAAATCTTAAAATTGTGATGTCACAATTCCACAATTCTTCCACATTTCTATAATAGTTTTGGTAAACAGGTGATGATGATGCGAGAACTGCATCATCCATCGTATCACTAATAAATAAATCCGAATTTGCAAGCAGCAACACTACTCGACTGTTCTTTTCGTTGTTTGTTGCCCGATCCATTCCAATCCTCTCACTCGAAAATCCGTTAATTTGTTGCTTGAAGTTCAGCTCTGTAGAAAATTTTTTCTAAAAAAAAATACGAGTATAAATTAAATGGCAACGCCAACGGATTTCGCAGACGTTGATGGTTGGATACAACACTTGATGCAATGCAAACAACTACCAGAAGCTGATGTAAAAAGATTAAGTGAAAAGGTGAAGCATTATAACACGAGATTATGGTTTATTTTAATATAAAAGGTCATCGCCTTGATGCCACGAAAAAAGCTTTTATGTTTTTCCGAATAAACGTTTTTCAAGTTTAAAAGTACCTCTTTGAAAATAAAAAATCTCGACATCCTATAATTCTGAATCTTTATTTACATCAATACAAGATAAAAAAATGTAATGAAGCTTATGCTTTTTTGTGGTTTTATTGCCCTATCACCTTTGTGTCATTAAAAAAACGCATTGATTGCCTAAACAAAACAATAATACTAAACCGATAATTTCGATGTAAAATAATTTAAGGCGCGCGAAATTCTCATGGAAGAATCAAATGTACAACCAGTCAAATGTCCGGTGACAGTTTGTGGTGATATTCATGGACAATTCCACGATCTGATGGAACTCTTTCGAATTGGCGGGAACTCGCCAGACACCAATTACCTTTTCATGGGTGACTATGTTGATCGTGGATACTATTCGGTGGAAACGGTTACTCTGCTTGTTGCGCTTAAAGTTCGTTACAGAGATCGTGTGACCATTCTTCGAGGAAATCATGAATCTCGACAAATAACGCAAGTATATGGATTTTATGATGAATGCTTAAGAAAATACGGAAACGCCAATGTATGGAAATATTTCACGGATCTTTTTGACTATTTACCTCTAACTGCATTAATTGATGATCAGGTTTGTGTTGTTGATTGTCTTTAAGGGATTGTTCTTCATCATATTGAACGACAAATTCTCTATTTTCCCTTTAAGATCTTTTGTCTACACGGTGGCCTATCACCGTCAATCGACACTCTTGATCACATTCGATCTTTGGACAGAATTCAGGAAGTTCCTCACGAAGGTCCTATGTGCGACTTACTGTGGTCTGACCCAGATGATCGTTGTGGTTGGGGTATTTCGCCTAGAGGTGCAGGTTACACTTTTGGGCAAGATATATCAGAGGCGTTCAATCATAATAATGGATTAACGTTGATTGCTCGAGCTCATCAATTAGTTATGGAGGTAAATTTTTTTTTAATTGCTTGATTAGTTATTGAATATTAATTTTGGTTTTTTGAGAAATAAAGTTTTTTTGATAATTAATTTAGGGGTATAATTGGTCGCAAGATAGAAATGTGGTTACGATCTTTAGTGCACCAAATTATTGTTATCGTTGTGGCAATCAAGCCGCTATCATGGAAATAGATGAACATCTGAAATATACATTGTAAGAATCATTGTTTTGATTTCGAACTTTGCTGGTTGATGAAATCATCTTTATACACGGTTGTTATTAACACTTGATTTTCATTAGCTTGCAATTCGATCCTGCCCCGAGAAGGGGAGAACCACACGTCACCCGCCGCACACCTGACTATTTCTTGTAATAAATTCCTAAAAAAGAAAAAATATTATTATTATCCAACATCATCATCAACAGACTTTTCAACTGTTTGTTTCATATATATATATACACATATATATAAATACACATCCATATAAATAAACTCATTATATAAAATGTTATTCAAGCATGTAGTATTATTAATTAGAATAGCAGTAAGTTAAGAAAAAGGTTTATTGTTTACTTCAGGCTTCTGTATGATCATTAAATATAAATTATTTAGACAAAATTATTTTTTATTCATGTCTGTAAAAATAATTTTAATGATTCCTTGGCAGTAGCAATAAACAGATCGAGAACCTAGATTTTCTTATTTTTTTTAGAACTAGAAATTATATAACTCTGTGACATATGACCTTTGGTTTGTTTATCTAAATAATGTGACCATACATGTCGATAAATTAAAATCATTTTTATTTTTCTTTCTGCATCGAAATCAATTGTCGTGCCATTTCCTTCTCTTCATTTGTATTAACAACCAATACCCGAATAATATTTTCATTATTATTATTATTATTATTCTTATTCTTATAAAAAGAAATCTCCACGACATCACTGCCACCAGCAAATTCTTTATCTGCATTTTGATTCTTTTCTTTATCCAATTCACCAACACCCAAGCATTTTAATCTTTCACATACAGTTTCACGAATCTCCCAACAATGCTCTCCAATTCCACCCGTAAATAACAATCCTGTAACTTTTCCCTCAAGAGTTACATAATACGCCCCAATGAAGTGTAGAATTCGGTCGACGAATAGATCGAATGCTAATTTGGCTCGTTCAAATTTCTCGTTGTTTCTTTCTTTGTCATTTATAATCTTTGTTATTTCGGCGAAATTGGATATTCCACAAATTCCTTTAATTCCAGAATCATGATTTAGAATTGATTCTGCTTCGGTTAGATGAAATTTTCTATCTGTTGGATGACGAGATTCAACTCCAGATTTTGCTAAATCCGAGAGGTGAAATATTGCACATGGATCGACCGTTCCGGCGCGCGTTATACCTGGCAAACCTTTTATTAAAATATTTTTTATATTAATATTAAATCTGCGATTTGCATCAATTAACTTAAATCCCCCAAAACTAATCCCGACTCTAGACCATAATTTGGGCCAGGCAAGAAATACATTATTTACCTTCTAATGGTGTTAATCCCATGCTAGTATCAATACTCTTTCCACCTCTAACAGCGCATACACTCGCACCACTTCCCAAATGTAAGCTTATAAATCTCACTTCTTCACTTTTCCAATCCACACCCAAATATGCACTTGCACATTGAGTCACATAAGAATGACTGAGTCCGTGAAATCCATACTTTCGAATTCGTCTTAATTGACATTTCTCGTACGGCAAAGCATAAGTGTAAACTTCTTTTGGCAATGTACGATGAAATATTGTATCGAAAAATATATAATTTTTTGCGGTAGGAAGAGAATCCAAGCACTTGCGAATTATTAAAACACTTGTATGATTATGTAAAGGAGCGAGTTCAGATAGGGAATCAAGTTTTTTTAATGCATGTTCGAGAGAAGAATGATCATCGGAAGAAGAAATTATCATTGGTTTTTCTTCTGTGGCCCCATGGACAACTCGATGTGCAATCGATATATTTTTACACTCATTCAAATGATTTATTTTATCGAGTAAATACGAGAGGACGTGAGTGAATGCTATCTCGTGGGTGGGTGCCTCGATATTTTGTGAAAATCGATCAATTTGTTCAAGCGTGGAAGATGAATATAACTTTGCTGAAAATTCACTGTTTCTGCACCCGATTTCGGTTACTTGGCCTTTGGATAAGAGTATTAATTTATTGTTATTATTTTCATGGGCATTTTGATAAATGTATATTTTGTATTTTAGACTTGAACTGCCAGCGTTAAGGGCAAGGATATTTGACATTTTTTTAGGATCGGGAAGAAAAGAATAAAGAAATTGAACGGAATTTAAGTCGTTTTTTTATTTATTTTATTTTTACGTCATCTGTCATTGTGATAAATTTCGTCATTATCATCATTTCGCTTTTTCTGCTGTCATAATGATAAATGGATGGATACAGGACCAAACCAAACCATTAGTTGCAGTCAATTATTTTATATGTCAGTTTGAAATAGTTCAAGGGCTCCTCTAACTACAAGTCTTGCAATCTACTTGTGCCGAAATAATTAGGTTTTCATGTTTCAAAAAAAAAAAAAAACGAGTTGGAATATTCATAATCAATAAATTTATTTTATAGAGACGTGACCAAAGTGTATGTAGAGTGAGAAAACAGATTTTTTGTACTCTAATTACAATACCAAAAAGAATAATAAATTGCATATATCTTATTCAACGTGCTCATAAGGTTTAACATCTATCTCTAATAATTTAAGCATTGTCCTTATCTTCGACTCAGAGCCACCAAAGTCCCTAATAAAGCTAATAACCTTGCCTTCTCTACCCATTCGTCCCGTTCTTCCCGCCATGTGTAAATAACAAGAAGCCGAACTAGGCATTCCCAAAACAAAAACATGCGAGATACTTGGTATATCAATTCCACGCGCGGAAAATTCCGTAGCAACGTACAGAATGTTTCGCGTCATGTTCCCAAATAAATGTAAAGGGCGCTCTTTTATCTTTTGCATCTCGTCGGATGTCAATTCTTTTGCTGGGAGCCCGAATTCGTGCAGTCGCGTCACTAGTTTCGGAACATTGAATCGATTCGGGATGAACAAGATTCCTGTTTCTACTTGTTCTAAATCATATGCAACTGCTACACTGTCAAGCATTCGATCATCGTTATCATCGAATTTAATTCTATCAGCAAGATTGTCATTATCTTCGCTATCATAATTATTAATATTTTCGTGAATATCATATTTATTATGATTATGATTATGATTGTGTCTCTCATCAGCATAACGTTTTTGCTTTTTTAATTCATAGTATTCTCTGCTTTTTGCTATTTTTTCCTCTCTGGTTAATTCTATTTTCGGACTGATATTTCTGATTGCTTCTGAACTTATCATTAGACAATGATGTAATATGGTTGACGGGGTTATTGTACCACCAGTAACATCAACGAATAGTGGATTTATTACAAATCTATTGAAATTGAAATAATGCCGCAACGCGTTATTCACAGTTGCCGACGCTACAATCACCTGAGGTTTACTAGATGCTCGTTCCATAATTTGCCTGGTTAATAGTTCAGCAGGTTTTGGATGTTTATCGCGATTCATGATACTTTTCAATGGCGCGTGTTTTCCTGGTAGCCTTAGTAAATGATCAGCTTCATCAAGCACCAAAGTATTCAAAAATTTAAAGTCCACTTTACGTTCATTAACAATTTCTTCTATTCGTGTTGCGGTGCCAATCATCAAATGCGGTGGATTCTCACGTAAATCGTTTACTTGTTCTTCGGGATCAATATTTTGTCCACGAACTACCACTTGAATAATCGGTTTCAATGAGGGAAACCCCACATTCTGTAACAATGAGCGGATCCATCCTTCCACTTGGAAAGCAAGTTCACGACTCGGGAGCACTACAACACTCGTTATACATGGTGGTCCACGTCGTATTATTTTCCGCGTTTGTGGTGGTGGTGATGATTTTGATGAGAATCTTGATGGTCTCTGTTGAAACCGATTAATTTTTTCTACAACCTTGATTTTTGTATGTGCTCGAGCTTTGTTAAGTAACGCGAGTATTATACCAAATGTTTTGCCGGATCCGGTCAAATCACGTATTATCACGTCTCTACCCTCTAATATTGGTGGTATTATCTTTCTTTGGCAGTGTGTCGGTGTTATTATATGAAAATGTTGATCCAGTGCATCACAAATTTGTGGTCGTATTCCTAAACCCTTGAAATATTTGATCGTTATGAGCGAAGATTATAAATTTCTACTTAATTGAACGCGTATTTCTGTCCATTTAGGAAAAAGGTAGCAAGCTCTTACCACAAAGCCTGTTTCCTTAGCTGGGTTAATTTTTTCGGGAGGTGCGTAAACAGTTTCTATAACTGAGGGTACACTTTTCAGTTGCTGTACATTACGTCGAAAAATAAGCGGTAAAAGCAAAAGTTTACGCGTTTTTATCATGCCGATAGTAGCAACCATTTATTTTACTGTCGACTGAAAAAATCTTGTTGAACATGAGTCATTTTGCATATGAGTCATTTTGCATTTTATAAGTAACGCACGCAGAAAATTTAGTTTTTATAGGGATAATAATGTCAGAGGCAAACACTAATTTGAAGAGGGATAGGAGTATTCAAGACATTAGGCTGTCTTGTTTGAACTTTCAAGCTACCGATTCTTTTTTTAAAGAATCGAAGGGTTTTTCCCAGCCTCCCACAAAGAGATCTAGAACTTTTGAAAAAGGATCCAGGGTTAATGGTGATGATGATAATGATCCGGCGCAACAACGGCCAATTTCATCTTCTTCTGAGTCTTGCTTTAACAATGTTGTAGCTGACAATAATCATGAAATTCCAATTAGATCTGTTAACACCCAGACTTTGTTAAATAGACCAACTCTATTGCCATTGTTAAACGATAAAAATGCGATGACTCGTATCAATGGCAATAGCAATCTTCTTGTTAATTCTTCCGCTGCTCCTTCTAATGAAAATCATCAAAATAATAACATAATTACTTTAAAAAGGATCAGCCGCTTTGATATACGAAATCCAAATTCTAGGAACCATAGTGATCCATGGGTAATTAATTCTCTTATGCTTTAGTTTCTTCCTTTGCATATTATCCTTTAAATATTAACTTCACCAGAACAAGAATCTCGAAGTAATCGATTTAACAAAAGACGACGATACCGATCGGGATAGTTCTTCCTTGATCCATTTGAGAAAAGAACACGATGATACAGGAGAGAGCTGTAATCATTAAGATTCATCACTTTTGCTCTTTATTATTTCTTTTTATCCTTAATCATATTTTTGCCTTATAGCAGCGGATTCCATGACATTTTCCAGCAATTTTACTTTTCAAGTTCGACAAAGGATTAACGATAGTCCCACTTTCAGCGATTATCGTGACTATTACTTATATCAAAAAACATTGTCTCTCCGTAAAAACAGCCCATGTTTCAATTTGGATTTCATTTACATCAAGAATCCTTTCTTTGATGCATCATTGCTTCCACAAATCAAGGATAAAGATTGGCACGCTCGAGATAAAAAGAAACAAGGGTATGCCATTCGTGGCAAAACGATTTGGACGTTAGCAATGACTGACATAATCTATCACACCCTTCCGCTTGCATTCCCGAAAAGGATCCATGCTATATTTTACGATGTGATGAAACCAGAAATATTCGAAGAATTATGGAGAGCAAACTCGCATCCCGGAGATTTCTGGGTGTTCAATTTTGCTTACTATCAAGAAGTTGGGGTGGACTGTCTGATCTATTATCTAAAGTGCTTGCTGCAACCGATTGCGGACAAAATGCTCATATTAAAGGAAATAGGCGTTGTTGATCGCAACTTGGCTGTCACACGGTATTGTTGGAATTAACAATCATAGTAATAATATCTTTAGAGCACTCACTATTAATGTAGGAAGTTAACAATATCGATCACTATACTTTGACTTTCAATTAACATTACATTGGTCAAACGTGTAGTAAGCGACGGCGGTGTAGTGTTTGTTAATGGTTTTTGTTAATTGTTCATCGCATTTTTTAGTTGTTTTTGTTCGTATTAAAGTCAAGCTCATTCATAACTAATCGTGAGTACACCAGACAAGACCACACAAGACGCACGCATATATATAAATCATTCGTTGATTTTATATACATAACTTTTACAAAAAATAAAAAATTCCGTTTGTTTATACAAATGAAGGCAGTTTTGTATCCAAGAAAAAAAGGGAAAAAATCATGTTTTTTTGCCTTCCAAAAAAATTCAAAACAAAAAAACGAGACGTGACATGTTATGTGTGTTGATTTCTATATATTTACTGTTATGAAATGATAAATGATGACGAAGAAAAAAAAGTACATCAAGACAAATAAATAAAAAATCCCCAAAAAAACCAAAAAAAGATCGAGCAAGTACTAGAAAATCCACATACAGAAAAAATAGTTTAAAACTCATACGCCGCCATAAATTCTGACTATCATAAAAATAACGGAAGAAGGATGTTAATTGATATATAGAAATATGGTATATATTATTTTCCCGCATTAGGATATGATGAGGAACGAACAGAACCAGAACACAGAGAACAGAACAACAGAACACAGAAAAGAAAGAAAAACGAAATATCCAAATGCGAGAGTAATAATAATAATAATAATACCATATCAATTAATTTATCCTATGAAAATCAAGAATATTGAAGGCGTATTTTTAAAGGATTTCTAGAACAATAACGATAAAACTTAGTAATATTTTGCCCGAATTTTCTTCTATAATAAATAAACAAACTAAAAAAACGGGCTTTGGTGGTGTGGCACATGAGAAGATAAAGAATTTACGAAAATATCTATGAAGATTTTCTTGCTGAAAATCAAAAATTATCAATTTAAACATATAAATAAAAAATTCTCAATATACCATCCATTCTATCTTAAAAACCACCAAAATATTTTAATCGAAAAATCACTTTTGATCAAACAATTTCTAATGATTGTCGGTCAGCTCCAATTGTCTGACCGTCATCACTATCCTCGTCGTCCTCATCTTCATTGTATGTTAATTCCCATTGCGAAGTAAGTTCTTCGACGGCGCTGCTAGTTCCATGTCGCATTCCCACATCCAATTTTTCCATCCATTCATCAAGCACGACTGGTACAAATTCTGCCGCTTTTTCTTTTCCACCGTAATTAGCCAGCATCTCGGTGCTTGTCGGAATGGCGAATGGAAGCAACATTTTACTATCTTTTGTCTCCATTAAATCTTCCTCTTCTTCCCATCCTGAACCTCCGTTACTATTAGTTGGACTTCCATTACCAATTAGGTAAATACTTGATTCACTGTACACACTTCGAATGCTTTCTGTGGAATTACGTTTTCTCCGTCGTTCATGATCCTCTTCCAATTGCTGAATATATTGTTGGCATTCTTCGGGCAATCGAGCTTCTTTTACTTCATATCGATAATTCTTCATTACTCGTTTCAATTGAGCAGGATTGATTAAATGTAATTCCTTAGTTGTTTGTACCATCATCGTGAAATCTGCCATTTGCGACCAACATTGAAGCAATTGCAAGAGTTGAACTAATGGTTGGCAATGTGATGATGTATTTGTTGAAAGATTATTGGTGCGTGCCCAATCTTCGAGAGTGGAAACATTAAGTCTGATTTGCATAGCCTTAGAACGACATATGTATTTCTTTTTCGCAAGAATTCGATTGAATAGTTCGCTTGATATATAATAATAAAGTTGAGAGATTACTTGTTCCACGATACTCGGATGTAATTCATATGTTTGTAAGATGAAAAGTGTAGAGGATAATAGTGAAGTGACATTTCGTGGAGATGGATGACTTCTTTGTCTTGGAGACGGAGGAGCGGTTCGATTTGATGATGGTACTCCGGATGTTGAAGAACTTCGTCGTAGTTGTGAAGTTGGTTTTACAGGATAAACAGTATTTGATGAAGGACTATGAGACCTTCTCGTTAAACTTCTAAAGACTCTCCATTCACCTTCAAATCGTACATCGTCTAATGGAATAGTTTCAAAATCCAACATTGATGCTTCCAATATTTTATCAAATCGTCTTTCGGCATCACGCACCAACATTACAAATATTTCGTGAATAAGTTCCGCAAAACGAATTTGATATTCTACGGTAGATTTTGCAAGTCCAGAATCTTTTTTTAGATAATAGTACAAAAGTGTACAATTGGAGATCCAAAAAGATTGCAAAGTCATATCATCCGGTTTCGACTAATAACGGAAAATAATACCAAAATATTAACAATCATTATTTATTATAAATATATCATTGATAACAAGTTACATACCCGGACAACCATATCAATAGTGTCAATAATACCATAGAGCAATTCTTCTAATAATTCAGGACTACTAAAATAGTGTGCAAATCGAGCACTCAAGAATAAAACATTGGCGGGCACAGGTTTTTGTGCCTTTGACCTAATTGGCTGCATGTCTGTGATAACTGTGTGTAGAATATGTGGAATATCTTCCGATGAAAAAACAAACATTTGATCAGGGAGACAGTGTTCCCATACGAATTCATATGGTGTTTCTTCCTCTTCTGTATTCTTATGTAATTATAATTTTTACAATTAATATATTTTAACTTTTACATAATATTAAAAAAGATTAATAAAATAAAAAATTACCTCTGGATCATCGATTCCTAGGCTTTCTAAATCTATTTCTAGATTTAAAGAGCTTTCTATGAGCATTCTACTTTTCCTTTCAGCCTCAGCCAAAGATTCTTCTAATCGGTTTTCAGCATCACCCACCATATACCATCCACCTATGCTTTCATTGCTGGACCAGCTTTCTCTCTTTGGATTATGGATAAATATATCGGCAATTTTATGATTATCAGGTGGAACAAAGTTAAATACAGTGTGGCCTTTAGCCGATTTGGCACCAGCATCTGCACCACTATCTAAAAGTATTTGGATAGTAGAGCCATGATTGTTGTTTGTAGCCCACATTAATGGAGTCCAACCGTCTATAATCATTTTCAAAAATTAATAGGAAAGAAATGTTTAATATAATCTTAATTTTTTTTCCGTAAATTTCACCGCTCAACTCTTTTCTATATAGACACAAAATTGCTCGCTATACAATATAATTGAATAGAGCTGGCATAGCTTAATGATACCAACGCATTTAATTCAAGTTTCTGGGAAGCTCCAGTAAATATATTCACAAGATGCATAGTGATTCTTGATATAGTCTACTTACTTCGATCTTGGGAATCAACTTTTGCACCGGCTTCTATAAGAGTATATGCGACGCTGTTGTGGCCAAAACATGCAGCATATATCAAGGGAGTAATGCCATCCTCGTCTTGAGCGTCAATATCAATATAACTCCTTGCATTCTCCAACATTTTTGATACTCTTTCTGTATTACCATTGCTGACGGCTGACGAAAAGATCTTATTAATTTCCACCTTTTTCTCCTCCTCGGATATCGACTTCTTCAACATAATTACTCGCTCATCTTCCAATCCATCAATAAGCATCGAGTCTTCTGTGATGGTAGGAAGATTGGTAGTAGTATTAAGCATCTCTGAGAACTGATTAAAGTTATTCTCCATTCCATCATCGTCAGACGCAGCAGGAGTTGGTGGTAATGACTTGTTAAATTTAATCGATTTTGTGAAATCATCTTCTTGATCTTTATTCGTATTTCCCCAAGGATCAAGCATTCCACTACTATCATTACTTTTGCTATTGTCATTTTTAAGTGTATTCTTTTCATCATTTATTAAGCTTTTTTCTAGAAATTTAGCGGCTTCAAGGTGCCCATTTAACGCGGCAATGTCAATCGTCGAGTCTTGGAATCCACTGTCTCTTACATACGACCCATGGCCATGGTGAGGTTTGTCGTGATGATAATGTTTTGTATGTTGATGCGGTTGTTGCTGTATCCGCGGCTCAAAGCTTGTTTCTGCCATGATTTGATTATTTTTATTACTACTATTTATTACTAGTGTCTCAAGTAATGTATAACCAGTTAGATGTGTATTTTAAATGAGAGGAACTTTTAAGTGTTTTCTTTGTGGTCAGGATGAATTTAGTTCTTTTCTTTCGCTTTGGATATGTGTGTATGTATGTGTACTATATTACTTCGAAGATAATAATATACTATGTATTATAAAGGAAAGAGAAACAACTATTTGGATTGTGTGTTATATTATGCAAGGAAAAAGAATTTTTTTCGGGAAGAGAAATTGGAATCGTCCGGCGTCCTTCCTATTACTTGTCGTTAGAGGTACAGTCGTTGTCTCAAGATATATTATGGTATATTATTATTTATTATACTTTTTATTGTCGTCGAAAGTTAAATATATGATATACTATGAAGTTTAAAAAGGTCGATAAGGTGAACAGAACTAAAAAAAATACTTTTTATGCACTTTCTGTCGTCTAAAAAAAATTAAAGTTATATATTTATATGTATATATGTACGAAATCGTTATAGAGATTGTGAAAAGTAGAAGACGAATTTTTTGACGTTTTTACGGCAAAGTAACGAGAGCCGTAGGTGTTCTTTGCGATTGTTTGTTGACCTAGATGGCAAACGAACAAGAAGAAATCTTTCCTTTGTCCCTCTTAGATGAATATTATATATCGATATAATATAATATTAATATATTATATTATGTAACTCTATATTATTATAGGTTGGTCACTGTGCATGTGTGTCATTTCCAAGAGTGTTATCTATATTTTCCTTTTGTGTTCATATTTATTATTGTTGTTCCGAAATTTATATTTTTCCTGATCAATCCATCAGTGTCATGTATCAGTATCAGTGTGTTCCTGGTGTTTTTGTTCTGCGTATAAATAATGGAACAGTTTGATTCACATGAATGAACATTAATTAATTAACATGGAGATTTCAATTTCGGTGACAAATCCCCGTAATTCTTGGTATCATCTCGTTTATAGAACTGACCAATAATTTAGCTTGTGAAAATCCCGTGATAGAGAAGTTCGGTTTGTCCAAAGAAAGTATACGTATATATAATCCTTATAACGATAAGCAGGCACAACAATCACATTGAGCAAACGGTATATTCAAATAAGAGCCAAATTATTGGCTTCAATCAAAATTCTGCAACAGTAACCTCAATCAGTGAATTTTCTTTGATCAGGCATTTGTTTCCAATCTACTTTACGAAACAGTTCTCTTACGATCAACACCGCGAATTGGACCTGGACCATCACTATGCTGCTGCTGCCGTTGGTGGCTTTGCCTAAAATTACTACTACCTGGAGAATTTACACCTTTTTACTATTTAGATTCATCGTTTTTCCTTTTCCTTTCTTGGCTATTGTATTGGCCCTTGCAATAGGTGCCTTTTGGATACTTTTTGATTTCTTCTTATTGGACGGTCTTTGTCCAGTGCTTGGAGAACCTTCAAAACCAGGACGTGATTTCTTCCAGTATATAGAAAAAAAAGATGAAAGGTTGATTTCTTATTTCAGGTAAAGTAATTGAAAAAAGCCTGAAAAACAGAATCTATACTTTACTTTACGCTGAATTAAGGCGGCTTGTGCAGCCACTCTAGTGGCTTTCTTCTTTTCCTCTTCTCGGCGAAGAAATTCATCGACGGTTATATATTTTTCGTCTCTAAATATAATAACAAGATAAATTAAAGTTTATTAAAAAAAAGCAATATAAAAACTGTAAAAAAAAGATGACTTGCACATCTTCGTGACTACTTGTAGCTGAAAGAAGCGGTGAGTCATCATCCCAATTGTATTCTTTCCCACGGTAAACCACTTCATATGCTAATTCGCTCGCGCGAAAAGTCCGCTCTTCCGAAGACTATTTATTAATGATGCATATTATATTGACTAATATGAGCGAAAATAATTTATGATATAGTGTTCCAATATATGAAAATGGTGAAGCTAGTTTACCATCATAGGATCCATCCTTCGTAACCTCTCTTCCGCCTTCTCCTGAGTTTGTCTCTATATTCATTACCATTCATTATCCGATTTCGCAAAAAAATAATAAAAGGTTTAAAAAATTCATCAATATACCAATTTTGCTTCTCTCTTTTCTCTCTCTTTATCCCAAGAGGAATGAACAGTAGGTTTATTTTTTAAGCCCTGTAGTCGCTCCCCGAAAGATAGCTCCTTATTCCAGTATACTTTAGGTTTTTCAACAGGGGACGGTAGAACTTCATTCTGTTTAGGTGGTGATTGAGAAGACTTCGCGAGTCGCTCTCGAAGTTTTTTTTGAATCTCTGTTATTTTTTTGTATGGTAGCCCTTTCGATGACTTTCGCACTTTTTTTGGATGATGATCACCTTTACGTAATTGTTCGCTATTAGAATTTGGCAAATTTTGATTTTGGTCTTCCATATTCAGTCTCAGGAAATTTTTTGGGTGTGTAACTGTAGTCATCGATCGATTACGTTAATGTTTATCATGGCATCAATCAATATCGATATCTTTACAACTTCTAACTTAATATCGAAATGTATATTCCTCACTCTTCTCCAATATTGCTAATAATAATACCAACAATTTTGTTGTTTCTATCACAAAAGACACAAGCATTATTTCAACATGGGAGATTTTCAACAAGCGCCTTGTATAATGTGCCTGTTGGCCTTGACGAAATTCAAGGAACTGTAGTTGCCTTTGCGGATTTCAATTCAGATAAATAGTTCGTGTTTTTCTAACTTATCTTGATTTTGGTTTTTCAAGAGTGACGCTTTTATGAAGGAATTTTAATTCAATCAAATTCCATTTCAACAAGGCCTCTTGGCAAAAAATAAATCATGATTTTATCTTCATAAAGGTGTCATCAAATTAATCATTTATAAATTCATTCTCAACTTTTATTGTGTATTTTGTTCTAGTACAGATGTCTTTGTTTTGAGCGAAAACCAAACCGTCGTGAATGTTTATACTTGGCATCACAGTAAGGGATCTTTTGATCTGTTTATTATAAATAAGCTTTCTCAGATTAATTATATTTTTTCAATTTAGAAAATTGGAGATTTGAAAAATCAGAGGCTCAAATTACTATTAAAGAATTTCTGATAACGAATATTTTGCCCGGTGATTTTAATTATGATGGAAAATTGGATGTGCTGGTTATGGGACAAAGATATAAAGCAGACAAAGAACTTTTTATGCGTGTTTACTTGGGGAATGGAGACGATGCTTTTGGTAATAATTTGAAAATCTTCGATGATCATTTATAATACTAATTCTTTTTTAATTTATTATTTATATTTGATTCATAGATGAAAATTATCTTCTAATCCCTTCGGCAAAAACATCCCAACCAATTCCATTTGATTATAGCGGAAATATGACTACTGATTTACTTGGTTACATGTATGAGAATAATGATGAATCGAAATTATCGTTGTGGAAGAATCTGTATGGATCTGAAGTGCAGACTGGGGATTTATTCGAGGTGTAAGTATATTTTTTTTTTCGTATTTAAATTTTTAGATTTACTTCTATTTATATATTTTTGATAAATTTTATAGATCACCAATAGCACTAAACGAAACTGACACTAAAATGTGTAAATGGGCAGAACCTCATTCTAATGCGTTTGTAGACTTGAATGGTGATTGTTTATCAGGCAACTATTATTTATCCTTTTGCTCATTTTGATTGATTTTCACACACTATGTCTCAATCAATAAACAGATCATCTTTATTTTTTTAGATTTATTTGTAACATGTCAAGAAAATTCTAATAGTCCAGTCACATTTCAAATTTGGACTAATTCCAAACAGAATGGGTTTGAATTTAGTCGTGCTGGTGAATTACCTAAAGGAGCGGGTCAAGTTTCTTTTGCCGATATGGGTAAGAAAATATACCTAGAATTTAGTAACAGAGATAAAATCAAATTACTTCTAAATTTTTTATTTTGCTTTATTAATACAGACGGTGATGGTACAATTGATATGGTCTTTCCAGTCTGCACCAAAAATCGTTGTGAAATCCATGTCACCTACAACAAACAAATTCCACTTTGCTCAAAAGAGACCAGCAAAAAGTGTCGGCAGTCTGCAAATTTATGCGTCGCTGATGATAATTTCCAGTTTGATTTAGAAGCTGATGATTCTAATATTGTATGCCTCTTTGTACATATATGTGTGTTTTTTGTAATGCATTTGCGATACCTTATTAATACTAAACACATATATTACTAATAGGCATATTCGTTTGACGAAACAATAAAGATTTTAGATTCTGGATTTAAAGGAACTTTGCCGGTACCAATTCGTATAGGTAATGTATTATCATTTCCCGGATATTTCTTATATCTTGCACAATTAATTGGAGTATTTTTTGCTAGGTGACTATAATCTCGACGGTTATCCTGATCTTCTTGTGATAAGTGATTCTGGTCATGTATCATTGTTACAATCGATTCCATGTAACGAAAATTGCTCAAAACCTGCTGTTGCGGCGCAACGACGCACATTCTCAAAAGTATTTGCTGGCGCGAAAATTTTGAATTCGATAAATAAAGCCACTGCGGCTGCGTTTTTGGATCTTGATGAAGATGTATGTCGTTTGTGTCGTGTCATGTCTGCTTGTTATGTAATATAGATATTTTTTGGATGTTAAATTATGAATTGCTTTTATTGTTTGAATTTAGGGAACCCTAGATATAATGGTGCTAGAGTCTACATCGAATTCAGATTCAACAGCTCGAAATGTACAGATGATACATAACAACTATTTTAATGATGCTTTCTTTGTGAAGACTTTAGGTTTGTTTTCTTTTTTTTTTTGTAAAAAATTATTAATGAATTCTCAATTTGAATACTTGATTTATAAATATTAATATGCGTGTGCATTTAGTTTTGAATGGTGTCGAAGAGAGAAAGGTAGTTATTTTTTTTTACTTTTTTCTTTTTTCTTTCTGATATTTATTATTTGATTTGTTTATGTTTTATCGAATATATAGAAACCATTCGGTGTTAATTATCCTGGCGCGACATTTAAATTTACTGTACTTGACACCTCAGGACATAAGAGAGCTAATCAAGGTATTACGAAAAATTTTTCAACGAATTTTACATGTCTTAAATCTGAAAATTTTTAATTATTGTCAAAATTATAGTCGCTCAATATTCACAAGCAGGATACGTCTCCTTACAAGCACCGTACTCTCTTTTTGGGCTCGGTCGTACCAATAATTATGTAGAAGAGCTTTTTGTGGGGACGACACGAAATCAAGTAATATTTATTTTTTGGTTTTTCTATAGACTATTTTGATACTTATAATTTTTTTGATTGACTTTTCTATAGTCACGTCATTACAGTAGTTTTTCTGGAGTCATTCCTAATTCTCAACTTATCATAGTCCCATATCAGCCATCTGGTGTAAATAATCCAAGCACGTGAGTGAAAGCAAATAAAATAAAGAGATAATTAACACCAAACAACCAAACTTATAAATTCTATAAATATTAATAACAGTTGGTCAATAAAACTTTACATTCATCCGGGAGATTGGATTCCATGGGTACTATTGACTTTAGTCTCGGCGACTGTTATTCTGGCAGTCGTTGTATTTGGATTAAATTGGGCTGAGAAGGTAAATTCTAATAGTAACAGTTTCTTGCATTTTTTTGTTTCGTTTTGCTATATTCGTTTCAACGTTGGGTCACATATTTTATTTTTATTACTGTGTAATAATAGAGAGAAGACGAACTGGAGAAACAAAAAGCCTTACACGTTATAAACTTCGATGCTTTGTGAATAGTTTTGAATCATACATTTTTGTAATAGTAATGTATTTTTTACAAATCGAGATCATTAGGAACAAAAATAATTTAGTAAATTATCAAGTATGTATAACACTTTATGAGGGTTTGATGATATAAGTAATGGATTTTTTTTGTGGATTTATTATGTTTAAGATCTCAAATTAATAACAATTCTTCATATTGTATTTTACCAAATTCAGGATATGAGTCTATTTTATATATTGTTTTAGAAATGAATCAAAAGTCACCTTCTTCTAAATGGAGATTGTAATGTCAATTCCATTAAGAGAAATATGCTTATATTATAATAGTAATTTTATATACAGTTATATTTCTCTTAACGTATATTCTTGAAAAAAATTCATTCAAAGAATGTGAGTTTAGAAGAGTGTGACTGTCTTATATTTGACTATTTATATAGTTTAAAGCTTCAAATCAATATGATCTTTTGATTCTTAATTTATTTTGAAATTTTTGTTTCAGTACCAGTATTATCGTTACAAGACTAATAGTAATGTGCAAACGTACGCGTTAATTCATCCAGAAAATTAATTGATTTTATTTATCACTATCAATGTATTCGTATCTTCTCGCGAACATTTCCAAATCACCATTGTACCCAAAAAATAATACATTTGTTGTCGCGGTGACAATCACCGGGTCATGTGTAGAGTTTCGGTTATGGTTACATAAAGAACATGAAGACAAAGTTCGAGAGCGTTTTCTTTGAATTTTGGCGTTACACTTTGATCTTGCGATTTGATTGGTCGATCACAACGACTTGCTATATGATCGACTATCGTTATATTAAAAGAAATTACTTTTTCTCAAATTCATTAGTAATATAATGCATTCCTCAAGTAGAGGGCGAGGTGGGGGCCGTGGAGCTTTTAGGAGAGGGGGTCGTGGAGGGCGAGGAGGGAGTAGCGGACGTGGTCGCCGAACTCCAGGACCTTTAGACGGGGTGTCTTGGAGTGAACTGCAAAAAATGTATACGCCAGAAGGGCCAATAGATGCTTTTCCTGTAAGCTTAAATAAAAATAGAGAGTAAATAAAGGATATTCAGTCTTATTTGTATTTCTTTTACGTTACTTGTGCATCCTGGTAATACTTTTTGTGACTATTAGGAACGAGAACTTTCCTCCATTAAGCGACCAAATGATGATGAAGAAGAAATGATGAAATTTTTATTTGATTTTAAGGCAGCATTAAAAGATACAGCATATTATTGCTCGACCCAAAAATCTAAACCTGGTATGGAGGCAAAAATCCTAGATGATAATAGATTATAATATAATGTTTAACTTTTATCGACTATTGTTAATTTGATTCAGTTCTTCAGCGATATCGTGATGAAATTCGGCCACAAAAACCAAGACCATCTTTACGAGATATTACAACTGGTAAGGATTCTTATTTACTTTTTTTTAAAATAAATCAATTTTATGAATTTACATTATCAACTACTTATTACATTATCATGACTATTTGTCGCAGAATTAGAATTCTTTCCTGAAGAGCTTCATGGCGTAATCGATCCATCAAAGATATTCACAGCTGAAGGTTTTATTTATTATCAAGTTTTTTAACTTGAGTATTCATTCATGGTCTGATATTCTATTTTTGATTAATACAGCAAGAAGGAAAAAAGCCCGAGTTGATATTAACACAAAGCTTGATGAACTGCTAGTTGCAGAGAGTAAAGAGAAGCCTCCGGTAATCAAATGTATAAATGTTTGACCTTTCTTTGAATTTATTGCATTTTTTTTGATTCATTGATAATATTTTAGGAGGAAAGAGACGACGAAGTTATTGAATTGATAGAAGAGGAAGAAGACGAGGAAGAAGGCAACGACTATTCAGAGAATTACTTTGATAATGGTGAAGTGGATGATACGCTGGGAGATGATGAAGGAAATGGAGGTAAGATTTTAGTTTATAATAAATTACTATTTAATATTTTCACTATTCCTAATGATCGAAATGTTTTCTAGAATCTTACTATGATGGCTAAGGTTAAATAAAGTAGGACTAGTAAAATAATAATAATCATAATCATAACAATAATAACAATAACAATAGTCTCAACAAATCTATTTTGCGATCAAGATTTGTCAATTTGTCAGTGTATCTTAAGAAGGTAAGAGATTTTTTACAATGCTTTCTATCTGTTATTGAGTTAACGAAATATTTTTTTATTAGAATTTTTGGATTTGTTGAATAGCAGCAGCAGATCGTTACTGTCAAAGTTGACTTCAGAACATGAGTAATGATAGTAGTATTCACACCACCAACAAATTCCACAATGTCGATGCTTCCGATTCTATTTTTCAGATAAAAAACTACAAATATTGACTTCAAATTATTTCTTTTTATTAAATGGTGATATATGATATACACTTTTCGCGAATAAATTATGGAATATGATATAGATATTTACAGATAAAAAACAAAAATTATACCTATTCTATTATATTTAAGTTGAGTGTTCGTGTGAATACGAAAAAAAACAACTATATCTATTTTATTATATTTAAGTGTTCGTGTGAATACGAAAAAATAAAAGATGTCTAAAATGATAAAATATTCTTTCGAGCGAAATCTCTTTCATAATAATTATTTTTCTCCCGTACACAAAGACAAATCAAAAGAGACTGTTCCAATTACTGCGATGGACTAGTAGTCGCAGATACACCAATACCAGCCACAGTACCACTAACTCCTGCAACATTAGGTGTTGGTGTAGTGGGCGTGGTCACAGCACTACTATATTCAACAGGAGACGATGCGGCCGAAGTATTGGCAGTCATTGTTGTCATGTTCACATTTGTAGTTGTATTTGTCGTAGAAGGGATCCCAATAAATCCTCTGCGATCTCTTCGCATGAATAATTTCCTATTATAAACAAGAATTGTAAATTATTCTATCTATATGAACTAAGAAATTTTCACAAAGATTATGATTAAATTTACCAATTATTTTTTAATTTAGCTAATATTCGGTCCATTTGAGTTTGTTTCTCATCATTCGACAGAATTGAGGACAGGATGTATGTCATTTGCAGCATACGTGCAGCTGTATCTGCTACCGGAATACCAGAATCGAAATCATGGAATAACTTATTGAACGCCTCTATTATATAACAAGTACAGAATTAATTATCAAAAGAGTCCTCTAATAAATATCATGATAAATACCATCAACGCGATCACCCATCGGTAAAATAACTTGATCTCGGAAACTCATCAAAACCATTCTTCTTACACTAAATTCTTCATTGTTTAATGTTAATGTTGATGTTGATGTTGGTGTTGATGTATTTGTAGAAGCCGTTGTTACTATTGTGGTAGTCGATGATAACAGGCTGTTAACACTATTATGGGATAAGGCGTTTATTGTGGCGGTGGTGCTATTGTTTGCTTGTATTTGCAATGGGAGAAATACGCCTTCAAAATAAGGAATCACAGTTCCAAAGTAAAATGACCAAAGTTCATTAAGACGCGAAACAAGTTTCTCATCGGGAACATCGCGTAATTTGCTATTTAATGTAGACATTCCACTCGCCAATAATTCAATTATATCATTATATAGTGATTCGGTTGTTTTATCTCTTATGCATCCCCTAATCGTGAATTCATATCGTAATAATTAACATTAACCATAATAACTAAAATAAAATACAAAAATGTTATTTATATTACCTTAACAATTCATTTAAATCTTCAATAGACATTTTCAATCCTTCTCCATTAAACAGAGGCAACACGTTAATACATAACGTTAGCCATCCATCATGTAGTCCTGATTTATCTTTAATAGCGTCCACTTTGCTGTTGTAATAGTCCGACGATATCTCAAACGGATGATTTCTATGAGGAGTAGAGAAAGACATCGTCGGTTGAGAAATAGTACTAGTAAAAGTGCTCGTTGCTGAATCTTTGATATTGGCAGGTATTGAACCGGTTGAATGCGATTTCTCGTGTGTATTTAAAGAATATCCAGAAAATTGTGATGATGTTGTTGATGATATTGTTTGATTACGTTCCGATGGATAGAATGATGCCGAAGATTGATTGTAAATTGACGAGTTTGTAGAGGAATTCGAGTTTCCACTATTTGATCGCGGATAGATCGAAGGCGTTCGGTAAGGTGAGGAAGAGGGCTGCTGTTGTTGACTAGTCTGTGTTTGTTGAAGCGTGGTAGACCATGCCTCGTTCCTTTCTACAGCATTTAGAGATTTATTTCTATTTACCAATTTCGAAAACGCGTAAAATAAAAAAATTCATGACGCGTTTTTCTTTTTCTTAATTTGACAGACCTGGAAGACTATTACTCAAAGCACCACTACTGCTGCCGTTATTGTTGCTATTACTACTGATATTATTGTTATTTGCATTTTGAGTTGTATTTAGAGAGGTAGTAGAGGAATTTGACGAGGTGCTTGGTGTGGAGCCTGGCGATGTTTCTTGAATTGAACCGAGATTCATGTTTTTCCTTGTATTATTGTTATTCTTACTATTATTTTTATTAGTAGTATTAGTATTATTATAATTATTTTTATTCGAGTTCAGATATTTCAAATAAAAGATGAGTAGAAGTTTTCGATAGACAACGTGCAGAGAAATTGTGTTAAGCAAATTCGTTCTTTCGTTAAGGTAGAGCATTACGTCATCAATAAAGATGTCGATGATTTTTTGGTTTATATGTCACCACGTGATGTAGTTAATTTTTTTATCAAAAATGTCCTTCGAAAATGGTATAGTATTAAATATTTATTATCAATAAAGGAAACACTTTTGTACTAAAAACTTTATTGATGACGTGACATACTCTATCTTGAAAATTCATTAAAAGGAGATGACGGTGCTTTTATTTAATCAAAATAGATTAAATAAATCGACAAATAAATTTCCTCCGCAACGAATTAGCTATCGAGCCTACCACTAAGAACATCCTTAATAACTTTACATCCCCACTTTATCGTATCTTGCTCTTCGTCCGCGTTCATCATCCCTTTTTCCTTTTCAGAAGATGGCATCTGCGAATTCTTTACAAACTGCTGCGTAAAGAATAAAAGTCCTTGTGATAATGTTGGATTAGGAATTGCTTTTTTGAAAATGATCGCTATTGGATCAGGATTAAGGTGATGATGCTTTTGACAATTGACCGTGAATGTGGATTTGGTAGATGATGGATGCTGTTTCTTTTGTGGCAGGATTATCGTGTATGTAATTAGCAGTCGGAGAAATAGGCGTGTTTGTGATTTTAGTTTTGTAAATGATACAGTCTAGTAATATAAAATTATGTATTCGTAAAGTATGTACATACACACACGAGTGTAATTTCAAAATAAGAATGTTTATGAAAAAAATGGATCATTCATTCATAATTATATACGTACCTTTAACACGATAATCGACAGCTGTCCACAAGCCAACAACCAAGCATAAAGTTTCGCCAAACTAACAATTTTCCTAACCGGTACTTTATCATCGATTCCACTTTCAACATCATTATCTGTATTAATACTCTTCTTTAATAGTTCCATCCCGCCAACATCATCTTCACCACACTCTCGCAAAAAATCCCAGAGACAGTATTGAAACGTGATTTTGAAACTATGGTCGTGCGCGCAGAGACGTTCTGCTAGAAGGTCGTAGTATGGATTGTGTGTTTTTTCCTGTGTTAAATTATATAATGTAAAAATGAGATTTTGTGTATACATGAAAAAAAGATAACCCACTTACATTTCCACAACAATGGATCAATACACGAGGAATCTCTCGTTCTTGAACATCCTTAAGATTGAGTTTCAGTAGACGTTCAAACGCGTCCACAAAATCCTAATCAAGTAATAAGAAATTTAAGTTTAATTAACAAGGTCAATGAATTATACATTATATTTTTTATAATATACCTCACTACTCATCAACACAACAAAAATACTTCGTCGCACGTCAGTATTCATTTTTTGCTTTTTGGCCAATAAGAGTATGGATGCTTCGATGTTATCGTTATTATTTTTATTAATTGATAATTGAGTTGTTTTACTATTATTATTATTATTATTGACGGTATTAGAGGTCCATGAAGATCCGATAAGCCACCATTTTCCTAGAAACGGATAACAAAAATTAATAAATTAACATGGATTGGAAATTTAATCCTATAAAAAATTTTATTTTTCACCTTTTGTTTCAATTGAATGAATATCTTGTAAGCTTACTCTTAACGCTTCGGTTCCTTGTACTTTTTATTCGTAAATAGAATTTAAGGGAAAAGCAATTTATCGATTAATCGATCCATTCATAAAGGTATACAAAACTGATTTACGAAAAGATAAAATACTTGCCGTGAACTTTTTTGCTCAAATTCACTAGAAACTTTTTCATCCTCATCGTATTACTATTGTTATTATTATCTACATTACTGCTGCTATTCCCATTACTTTTATTTAGATGTTGTTGTTTCATACGATTATTCTTCAAATTTGTAATTGTTTCAACCATAAATTTAGTTCGTGATCTTGAAACAATTATATAAAGAATGAATTAAAATAACGGACATTATAATACTAATAAAGATGCCAGTTTAGCATAAATATATAAATACCCGATTGTCGAAGGATCCTTTTTGCTAATTTCATATATGACTTGCTGAATGATTTCTTTTAACGCTAATGGATCATCTTGTCTCAATTGGCATCCTGAACCTAATAAAAACGCGTGTACAGCATAAACATATTGATAAAATCACGAAATCCAATTGATGTTTATCAACTTTACTTACTCTTAATAACCTTTAATAACAACTCAATATTCAATTCTGTCAAATCTTTGATAAAAAGTCTTACTAGATCGTATATCAAAATACACGAAACTACTTGAAAATTGTATAACGCAGAAATCAAGAGCACGAGATTCGTGCATTCTTTCCCTCTTTCTCCATTATTTATCTTTTCTGTAGTCGTAGCGTCTTGATCACTATTAACCGTGTCACGATTCTCGAAATTATTTTTACTTCTACTGTATTTACTATGGAACTTTTCGAATTCTTCAATTAGTGTTTGCACAAAATGCGCACCTTGGAAACGTAATGTTTTTATAAATAAATTATTCGATTAATAATAAGTAATGCTTTTTTGGCAAATCCACTTACAGAAATCAATCCCGTTAATTTTATACAAGGCAGCAATAAAAGTCGCGTAAAGAGTAACAAACTGATCCAAAAGATTAGATTTAGACGATATTATATTGAGCACTAAGTTAGTAATCGTGGAGGTCACGTCTATTTATTATAAAATATGATTGATATTAAAATCGAATTGAATCGAATCGAATTAAAAAACAAATATATAAATAAGAATCAATTACCATGTCGCCTATATCTTTGATACAAATTCTCAACATTTGTTATAATATTTTCAATATTTGCTTCACTGAGTCTATCGAATTATATGTATAAATTATTTGTTTATTTAGCATCACTTAAATAATAAAAAAAAATTATATATTTACCTATTCAGTAAGCCCTGCAATTGTCTTTGTATCTTAATCAATTCTTCTTTAGCATCATTATTGAATCCAGCACGTAAATGAGGTGGAACATATTTTTTTGGAGAAACTATAGATAAACTCAATAAATATCAATAAAAAAAAATCACTAATAACAATTTAAATTATAAAAAATGAAATAACCTTGATTGGAATTTTCATCAGCATCAGTTTCTTCAATTTCTTTGTCAGAAACTCGAGCATTATCGTCATCTGAAATTTCTTGGTCGCCTTCCTCATCCTCATCCTCATCTTCAGTATTTAATTCTGCGCTTTCATTCTCATCATCTAATTCACTTTCACTAGCCTCGTCATTTTCTTCATCCGTTATAATTTTGACCTTTTTAGAGTCAAATTGTTTTAACTTTCTCGAGCCAATCTCAAACCCGGATAACAAATCTACGCACAAAAAAGAAAATCACATATTAAATAAAAGATTAAACAAGATACACCGAAAAAATCAATCAAACAATATAAATGCAAAAAATATACCATCTAATCCATCGTCATGTAAAATTCTAGATAGATTTCGATCAGACTTTATTCCCAATTTCTTCTCTAGCCGTCGCATCTGTCGTTCATCAGGATCCAAAGATTTTTGCTTCCTTTCCGCAAGACTGGGTGATAATGTAGATTGCTTTTTTCCGGGCGTAGGGTCGTTGGTATCATTGTTGTCTCGTTTCTTAGATTTCTTTGGTTTTTGTGATGACTGGGGATCTTTATCCTTGTTCGTTATTTTTTTGCTGTTATTGGTTTTTTGACGTTTTGCAGGAACTGATAGTTCCGGATCATCTTTTTCCGTTTGATTATGACTCTTTAATAGCCAAATTAAAATTAAAAAGACAAATCGATTTTTTTAATTTAATTTTTTATCGTCATGGATTAAACTAAATAACAATAATAACCCTTTTGCGTTTTTTATCTAATCGCTGTTGTTTACGTTTGGCCTTTCGCGTTTTTTCTCGAACTTTGAATTTTTTGGCAAATTTTCTGTTGTCGCCTTTTGAATCTTTGATTTTTTTGTATCGATATCAAATTTTAACCATCATCATCGAAGTTAAATGTTTATTTGCAATTATCCAAAAAATATAATATTATTTCAATTTAGGATTTTTCCCAAATAGTTATACAAAGCTACCTTGAGTTTCTATTTCCTCTTGTATTTTATTTGGCAAGGTTGGCCGTATTTTTGGAGGCATTATTTCTAGTGAGCAGCAAGAGAAACGCAAATTTTATAGATCTAGCCAATGAAATGGGTGGATTTGTTGATTTATATCGATATACTTTGATATTTCGAAATTCAGCGAAATACATACAGGCTTTACAATAAAAATGTCAGATGCAAAATACTTTCAACGAGGTAAAATACAAGAACTTCGTACCGAACTCAATTCGGACAAGAAAGACAAACAACACACCAAGAAAAAGACAGTTCTAAAAAAGATTGTGGCCAACATGACAATGGGCAACGACATGTCTTCTTTATTTCAAGATGTAATAAATTGTATGCGGATACCAGCACTAGAAGTAAAAAAGATGGTATACCTATATTTGATTAATTACTCGAGAACAAAACCGGATATGGCTGTAATGGCCATTCCAACGTTTGTCAAAGATGCCGAAGACCAAAATCCGTTGATACGCGCACTAGCCATCAGAACCATGGGGTATATCAATGTCGAGAAAGTGGTCGACGCGTTAATTGAGCCGCTTCGTCATTGTTTACGGGATCAAGATCCGTACGTTAGGAAAACTGCTGCAATAACCGTGGCAAAACTGTACATGTATGATCGATCACTGGTGGAAGGTGATGGTTTTATAGATATGTTGCGTGATTTGTTGGCAGACGCTAATCCAACAGTCGTAGCAAATGCTGTGGCTGCTCTCACAGAAATCTCGGAAAGATCTGATAATATACAATTGAAGTTGAATATGAACGTTGCTAGTAAATTGGTGGTCGCGCTTAACGAATGTTCTGAATGGGGACAAACCTACATTTTGGAAGCTTTGATGTCGTATGTACCACAAGAGATTGGTGATGCTGAATTATTATCGGAACTTATTGCACCGAGACTGCAACATGCTAATTCCAGTGTTGTGCTTACTGCCGTCAAAGTTATAATGTATTTTATGAACTATATGACAAAGGAGGAAGAAATTACTAATATGTGTCGTAAATTGTCACCACCATTGGTCACGCTTCTTTCTACTGGGCCAGAAGTACAATATGTCGCACTTCGTAATACACTGTTGATTATCCAACGAAGACCAGAAGTCCTGCGCAATGATATGAAAGTTTTCTTTTGTAAATACAATGATCCGATCTATGTCAAATTGGCTAAACTGGAAATTATGTTCCGTCTGGCCAATGCCAGTAATGTAGATCAAGTATTATCAGAATTAAAAGAATATGCCACAGAAGTGGATGTTGACTTTGTTCGCAAAGCAGTGCGTTCGATTGGTCGTCTAGCCGTAAAGATCGAACAGACTGCTGATCGATGTATTGCTGCACTCATGGAGTTAATCCAAACCAAAGTTAATTATGTCGTCCAAGAAGCGATAGTTGTCATCAAGGATATTTTCCGCAAATACCCAAATCAATATGAGCGTATAATTGGAACGCTTTGCGAAAATTTGGATAATTTGGATGAACCGGAAGCAAAAGCAGCAATGATTTGGATTATAGGCCAATACGCGGATCGTATTGAAAATTCCGATGAACTACTGGACGATTTCTTGTATACTTTCCTCGAGGAACCCGTTGAGGTGCAATTGGCGTTGCTCACTGCAACCGTCAAGCTTTTCATAAAAAGACCAACCGCGGGAAAAGATCTTGTTCCAAAAGTTTTAAAATGGGCCACCGAAGATGTAGATAATCCTGATTTACGGGATCGAGGTTACATATATTGGCGTTTATTGTCAACAGATCCAGCTGCTGCCAAAGCAGTCGTATTATCCGAGAAACCAAGAATTTCCACAGAGACTGATAATATGGAACCGGGACTCCTTGACGAACTGTTACTTCATATATCCAGTCTGTCCTCTATATACCATAAATCACCACAAACATTTATTCATCACAGTAAACCGAGATTTTTAATCCCATCGCCAGTTTTGAATCGTCAATATCAAAATTCATCATTACAAGTTCAAAATTTAGATGAAATGATCGCTGGCTCGTCGAGAAATCCGGGAGGACTAGAATCTAATCCTTACGCCTTGGATATTATAAATCCTGAAAATAATAAAAACAATGATAATCTATTGTTGGATTTGTAGACTAAAGCGGTGGTGTGGAGTGTGGAGGGATTTTATTATTATTAATATTAATATATATAAAAATCAGCTTGCTTTTTTGATAAAAGTGAACTTTATTTATCATGTATTTTTAATACAATAGAATTCATATTTAATATATATACACACAATAGCGAGTGATAATTTTGTGGCAAAGCACATACAAACTTATTGAAACTCTTAGCCTAAAATAAGATTCTTGGCAAAAAATTTATATATCGATATAAAAGGGAATATCGGAAACCTGATTTGCAAATTGATTCAAAATGCCATCGGTTACCCTTAACCCTAAAGACAAACTGACCATTAAAAATGCGATTCCAACCTCTGCAAATGTAGGTTTTTGCCGCTGCTTCTTGGCGGGAGATGCTTTTTATTTTTTTCATACATAAGCTTGACAAAAAAATGTATGTTTTCATCTTTATTATAGAAAATTATCACTGCAACTGTAACCAGATTGTATGTTGCTTATCCGGACCCCAATGCATGGACTTATGCCAACATTGTAGGAGCAGTTGTATTTCTTCGGGATTCGAAGAAAAAGTCTTTTTTCTTTCGTATCGTAGACTTGAATGTAAGTAAAATGACTTTTTTTCCTAAAATCTTTTCAAGCATATATAATTTGACTTTATTAATTTTTTTTAAATATTCAAAGTTTGATCGAGGTGTCCTTTGGGAACAAGAATTATACCAAGACTTTCAGTACAATAACGACACTTCATTCTTTCACACTTTTGCGACCGACGTAAGTTAATGTTATTGTATCGATTTGCCCATATAATAATAGTAAATCTGATTTTGTTGATCGATTTTGATGACGATAACAGCAATATGTTGCCGCATTTTCTTTCGCCGATGAAAATGAAGCTGTGACATTTCATAAAAAGGTAGTCAATCGTGAAAAAATTAATGCTAAAGGTATATATATCTTTTACTATTAGTTCTCATTTCGTTCTTTATTAAATGATTACCATTGTTATTCTCAAAGCAAAATCGAAGAAAGACAATGAAAATAAAGGCGGTGGCTTTTTCGGTGGTAGTTCATCAACCAAAAAGAAAAAGGGTAAAAAGAATAAAGTTGATAAATCCTCGATTGGACAGCCTACTGATTTCAGGTACTGAATTCAATTTACATTTGTTTTGAAATTCAATTCAAATAATATAAAATATATTTCATCCTCTTTAATTTTAATAAGACATCTTGGACATATCGGTTACAACCCCGACACAGGATTTGATGTAAGTTTGTATTGAATTTTAGTTTAGCTTTCAAGCTAATTAAGACCAAATTAAATTTAAATATATGTATTTAAATCATTTTTAGGTGCGAGATATTGATCCTTCTTGGAAAAATCTATTTGATCAATTGGGACAGTTGGGTATAAGTCAGGTAGGTGAAAATATAAATCATGATTCAATAAACGTATTCTTGAGTTTAAAGTAAAGGATTGCTAACTTATCTAAATTTGTATAGGATGTAATCACAAATAATGCAGATTTTATTAAAAACTTTGTGGAAAAAGAAGGTGGACTTAACTTGGCACAAGCTACTCATAAATCAGTTGCACCAGCAGCGAAGCCAAAGGCAGCACCTCCAGCACCTCCAACAAAAGTGAATAGGAGGCAAGCACCGCCACCTCCACCTCCACCACCACGTGCAAACTTAAATGCAACTACGAAATCAAACAAGTCTGCACCACCTCCGCCTCCATCACGCAAATCAATTGCACCTAGTACTCCGACTCGTGATTTGTCTCCATCTCCCCCGATGACTCCTCAAAAAGCATCAACTCCACCACCACCACCTCCTGCTGTGAAACTAACTAATAAACAAAATATTCCACCGCCTCCGCCACTCATCCCAAGACAAAATGATCCACCACCACCCCAGCAGTTAAATCCACCTCCAGTGCCACCTCCATTACGTTCTTCTGTACCTAAATCTACGGTACCGGCACCACCACCACCACTCCCACCTGCAAGAGTTCAACAACCACCACCACCACCAATCCCTGCTGCTCGTGTTTCTAATACACCTCCACCTCCACCTCCACCACCGATTCAACCAGCCTCTAAAGATAATATTCCACCACCACCACCACCGCCACCCCCAGTCAGTCTTGGTAGTAGCAGTGTTCCTCCACCGCCACCACCACCACCTCCTCCTCCAATTGGACTTGGTGATGACGTCCCTCCACCGCCTTTACCACCTTCACTTAATCTGCCTTCACCAACACCTGGTCGAGCTAACTTGTTGCAAGAAATTCAAAGAACTGGTGGAACTGCTGGTGCCGGTCTGCGAAAAGTAAATTAATATTTTATTTATTTGATCATAGTTAGTAGAATAGGATACAATACAATCAATTATTAATGATAAATATTTTTATAAATAATGATTAGGTTGGAGAACCGAAAACACGCTCGTCTACACTTGATGAAACAGAACCAGCGAGCCCTTCTGCTGGTGGTGATCTTGCTAAAGCTTTGGCATCTGCTCTTCTTCACCGTTCCATTGCTATCGGAAATGACTCTGGTATTGTTTTTAAATCAAAGATTTGATTGAACCTTTATTTATTGAATTTGAATTCTGATTTTTTGTCTTTTAGATGAGGACGATGAGGACGATGATGACGATGAATGGAATGATGAATAAATAAAGTAGGCGAAATGATAACAAAGAATTTCACATTTAACTTTCTTTTGGCATTATTCATTCCTTTCAAAATAAGGAATACTATAAATCATTGTAGTATCACCATCTTCTTAGCTTATTGAATGTTTTTCTTTTTATGTATTGTGTAGCGAAACTATGAAATTCTATTGTGGTTTGATTTTCTATAAATATTATAATAAATTCCAAATAGTACAAAATAATTCTGACTATTCTTTTTTTGGTTTGATTCGATCCGATCAACAACACTAATATAATATTCCTCGTTCTCTCCGCTACAATTTCAGCATCACAATATCGAGAAAATCGTGTTACATGCAACACGATTTTCTTTATGTTTGGTGGCCACACAGAAGGCTAAACGAAAGACCTTACCTTTAAAAAGAAAAATTTTGCTCTTTATCTAATATGATAACTGAATAGTTGTAAATGAACAAGGATGTTATCAAAGTTTTAATCACGGTTTTCCGATGATAAATCTATCAACTCGGTTTCTTAGCTTTTCCAGAATTTCGATCCTAGATATTTAGTGTATTCCATTCATGTGCAAATTATTAGATGATAGGAGAAAAAATATACGAATTATTTGAGTAGATAAATCGTATATTAAAGTAAATAATATTTATGTACAATTTTAAACAAATGTCCAGTTGTAGTGTCTCTTCTAAATGCTAATCAGCCATCGAGTGAATTACGTCCAACCCCACTATCTTCACTCCCCAAGAATTTTGCACCAGCCAATTCGCCAACATGTTTTCCATCACGAAGCGAGCTACCATTCTGAGAACTTTACACGCCAAGTGGTGTCGTTCGAAGATAAAATTATGAATAAGTTGGTAGACGTAAACTGGTGATTTCACGAATTTTATCTCGTGACTTTTGGTTGCTTAATGAATACAAAAATGAATAACATACATGCATTAAAAATCCTTTATTTCCTTGGCTTTTTGCGAAGCTCTATATCGTCGAAACATTTAAGAGACAGGATTTTTTTCGGGAATTAATTTTCGAAAAAGCATTTTCAGCTTTGCCTTTATCTCATCTTGAAAACAAACAAGTCAAAGCTTTTGTGCACATATGGATAGAGTGAGAACAAATTAGATAGCGTCATTTGCATTAATACACGGCGGCGGCTGAACGATTTTCTTTTTCGATGGAACAAAAATTCAAACTGATATTCTGCTGTCAGCTTGCTGGGCGAAACAAAATTCATGTTAAGAGTTTATCAGCAATCGAGAGTTTTCGCTCATACCACACTATTAATACTCCTACATGTAGTATATTGGGCTCTTTCGCTGGAACGAAAGAGGAATTCTATCACGTGGCAAATTACAATAATATTCGATCGGGATCAGAATTTAGTGATATCATTGGAGAGTAGCTTACTCGCAACAATCACATTCGATTGTCGATTGATAAACACACAACAACAACAAATCATACCCCATTCCCAGTTGTTAATTTTTTTCTGGTCCGCATCCCTTGCAATCCACAAACAGACACAGCTCGTTCTCGTCTTCAAAATTTCGCGGTTCTTTTTTGCTACAGTTTTACTTTAGTTATCTTCCATATTTATAAAATAGTGTTCAGCATGGTACGTGTTAGAGCTCCAAACTGAAATGCTACTCTTTCATATTTCGTCGTTGTTGTGTCACGTGGACAAGGAATAAAGACAAGTTTGAGGCAGTGTTTTGTCGTTAATTTCTTAAATTAGTCGACAAAAGCTTACTAATTCAAAAAAGAATAGTCGGTTTGGAAAAATTGTTTTAGAGTTGAATTAAGTGGATTCCTTCATTAGTCGCCAAATAACAAACTTCATAAATATAGTCGCGTTTGGATTTACACAGCAATAAGGGCGCTCATTTAATTAAGACAATTCAACTAACTTTCATATTGCACTTTTTCTTCACATTTGCTGATATTTAGGCCGAACCAAGACCCACAAATTCCACCACCACAATTAACCATGCTCCCGCTACAAAAACACCTGCAGTCGCGCCACCGGCTGCTCCACCAACTGCTCCCCCCACCACCGCGCCAGCAGCAGCAACAGAAAATAACATAACTACCACCACTACTAATACTAGTAACACGGTTGCTGCTGAAAGTTCTAAAGAAAAGGAAAAAGTGCCCACCATTTCTAGATCTCAGAGAGCTGGATTACAGGTAAATCATTTCACATAACTGTTTTTCAGAATTGGGGTGAGGCTGGAGGTGGGATTATCAGACATGATTTGGTTTGAGCCATTCGATTTTTACATCGGCCTTCAATATTTCATATTCGATGTTTAATATTACACGAGACAATCTACGATTTATTCATGTCTTCGGTTATTCATTTCTTTTTTAAGGGATGGTTACACATAACTTCTAAAAGGAATATCTACACCCATCACTGATAATTGATAATTATTTTTCTTTATTCAAAAAACAACCCGTAAAAAACTTGATCAATAGTTCCCTGTTGGTCGTATTCATCGTTACCTGAAAAAGCGAACGCTTAATAATGCACGTGTTGGTGCTAAGGCTGCAGTATATTCCGCCGCCATTTTAGAATATCTTACAGCAGAGGTACTCGAATTGGCAGGTAATGCCTCAAAGGATCTAAAAGTAAAACGTATTACACCACGACATCTACAATTAGCGATTCGCGGTGACGAAGAATTAGATACACTGATTCGAGCTACAATCGCAGGTGGTGGTGTGTTGCCGGTGAGTATTTTTTTCCTTTGTTGATTCTAACTTTTTTTTTGTGCTAGATTTTTTGACTTTATTCTTCTGCATGTCTCAAAATAATCAATATTGTTAATTCTGTTATTTTTAGCATATTCACAAGACGCTGCTCAACAAATCAAGTCAAAAATCCAAGAAATCTTGAAATTGCATCATATACTGGAGATCATCTAAAAATAGAGGAGGCAAACACAGATGTCTTCTACTTCATTATTAATTGACACTCCCCTTCAACTTCATAAGACGTTCGCATATATATATATATATACACACACATAAATAAATACACACAAGATTTGGGGGATGTTAATTGCGATATTTGCTGGAATCCTGTTATTCTGCTTTGAGTATTATTTTCTTTTTTTGTCCTCCTTCCTGTTTATTAGTCTCTTGTGTCTTTATTTTATCCTCTCACCTACATTCTTTGATGTGTTAAAGAATGAATAATAATTGTTTAATCTTTTGTCTTTTTATGTTTCGTAACTTGAAAGAATTTCCCAAAAAAAAATACTAAATAAAATTTAACATAGTATTTCCGAATTGATAGACCTTGATTACAAGCAACAAAGTTCTTGATTTATCGTCATTATTCTCGATTCTCGACAGTTGTGTCATTGTTATTCTTCATCGGACTCCTTTATAGAAATTCATAAACATCTATTTTGCGATTTTAATTTGGAATGTGCCTATTAATAAAAAAATTAAATATCAATATCATAAAAAAAGAATTGGATTTGATTCTCATATATTTACATTGGGGTAAACTCGCACTTTCGGCAATTACTACACCTAAATAATTAAATAATTAATTGAGGAAGATCAAACCCTCCTTTTCCACAGTAAAAATTTATACATACTAACGACTCCCAAATTAGCTAATGCACCACGTATTAAGCCGCAAGGGAACCAAAGATACTGGATTTGTTGAAGAGAAATTGTAAATCAAATATTTAAGGAAGAAATTTCATTGAAAACAAATAATCGAAATCCAATATTTTACAGGTGTGGCTTTTCGAGCCGCATCGTTTCCACCACCTTCAGTTGACATTCGTAGAAACCATCTGAAATTGTTATCCTGTAAAACATAAACTCCCTATAAAAGTAAAATATGATCAAATAAATCGGGGTATATCTCTCTCTTCGAAAGGAAAATAAGCGAGCAAACAAACTAACTAACTAACCCTGTGATTTGTCTTAAGATTATCAATTTGCTTTTTAAAGATTATAGACCAAAGATCCTTGCACACAAATTTGACCACATCCAAAGTATCCCCAAAACGTTGACGGTCTCGGGTGAATCTACAAAATCGATACATCCGAAATTTGATTTTTTGGAATCAGATAATTTATCATAATTTTTAGTCAACAGACCTTTCTACTAAATTTTGGCCAACGTGATAACCTAACATTTCCAACTTGTAGAATACCGCTTCTTTATCAGTCTCAGAGTCGGCTGTTGAACGAAACATTAGGTCAACCATTTCCATGGTTAGAAATTCGAGACACGACTCATTGACCATAGCTTTTGGCCCTCCAGCTGAATTCGAGCCAGAGCCCGAAGCAATGTCATCTGGGGAAGCCAGTGCGTTAAAGAATGGTGTAATGGCAGAAGAGGCGGACTGTAAAACCGACATAAAAAAGATATGTTAGGTTAGGTGAGTGAGAAAAATGAATGAACTTATCTATGTTGTAATTAGTCGAATTAGACTATGTGTCAAGTAAGAAATCAGAAATTTAAAAATCGAATCAAGTATCGAATTTATTTAAGTGATAGTTTCATTTATCACATTGCACAAGCATTCATTCGAAGAATCTGATCGTATTTCGCAAATAGCATATACCGATACAATGTCTCTCAAAGGTAAAGTATTATTCATATCGGGAGCTTCTCGGTAAGTTTTCATAAAGAAAGCGTTTCTTAGGATAATTTCTATGTTTGTTTCCTCAAATGCACATTTCCATAATTCTACTATATACATATATATATATAGTGGCATCGGTCTTGCTATAGCATTAAGAGGTACTATTATTTGCCTATATAGAAATGAAACAAAGTTTCATTCTTTCGAAAGTAATAATAAAAATTGTTTTTAGCCGCAAAAGACGGTGCCAGCATTGCCATTGCGGCGAAAACTGTTGTTCCGCATCCTAAGGTTTGTATAATTATATATAGACCATTCGTAATGGAGTCTTCAAATACGTGTGTATTCTCGCTTGTTGTATGTCTCGAATAAAATACACAACAGCGTACAAGTTGTACACGCATGCACCAACACCAGCTGAACTCTATTGCAACTACACTAATAAAATATTGTTAATTAAGTTGCCAGGGACCATATATACAGCTGCGGAGGGAATTGAGCGCGCCGGGGGAAAAGGCGAATTACGAATTCGAATTACTTGTCGTGAATTTATTGTTACAATTTCATCTATAAACCGTATTTATGCTGGGAACTAATTTCAATAGCTCTACCTCTTGTGTGCGATATTCGAGATGATGAAGCTATTAAAGCAGCGATAAAAAATACAGTTTGTGCTTTTGGTGGAATTGACATAGTGGTCAATAATGGTGGGTATTTTTTACATCTTAGCTTTTCGATCATAAAATTTTATTTATATTCATCATATTTGATATGTAGCTTCGGCTATTAGTTTAACAGATACGCAAAAAACCTCACTCAAAACATATAATCTCATGAATGAAGTCAATACTCGAGGAACTTGGCTGGTTACTAAAGTAATAAGAATTTTTAAAACATACTGCATCTATTGATATAAATTAAATTTCGATTTTTCTTTAATTAGCATGCGTTATCCAGTCTTCTTGAGAGTGCACAAAATAAGCGGAATCCACATATTTTGAATATCAGCCCGCCGCTTTCTATGCAAGAGGAATCGTTTTCTAAACATGTAGTTTTTTTTTGTATATTATTTTAAATTTACCATTCTTTCGTCCATCTCAATAATTTTTTGTTAGTTTAGGTTGCATATTCGATAGCAAAGTGAGTAATAAATAATCGTAAAGTTATGCGATTAATGATAACTAACATTATGGTTTGTCATGATAATTAGATACGGAATGTCGATGTGTGTACTTGGTTGGGCTGGAGAATTTCGTGGAAAAATAGCTGTTAATGGTTGGTGTTGGTTGTATTATTATATGGAAACTTGTAATTTATTAAATTTATTTTCTTTTATTTATAGCTTTGTGGCCTTTGACAATGATTGATACCGCCGCACTAAACATTATAGGTGATGGCGAAACCCAAGAACGTTATATGCAATTAATGCTCAGTTACTAAATAATAAATAGCTCAATTATAAAGATAAAAACCTGGGATCAAAATCCAGGAAATCGGAAATAATGGCTGATGCTGCGCACGTAATTCTAACAAAGCCAGTTGAATTCACGTAAATTTAGCGGACGCAATTCATTATTTTTTATTATGGAAATATTTCTCAAACGCGTTTTCTGTATCTTTTTTTAGTGGGAATTTCTCAGTTGATGAAATAGTATTACGGAAAAACGGTCAAACTGAATTTGATAATTATCTCGTGACGCCTGGTAACGAAGACCCGACTCGAGATCTTTTCTTGGACAAAGAAGTATTTGAACAAGCGGAACTCTTGAAAAAAGAACAAGAAAAGAGCAAGTAATAATATCTTTAGTGATTTTATTATGCACTTTATTGAGTTATTAGAAGATATTTGTTTTTATTATCATTCATTAGCCTTGTTTACACTGTTACCAAGATAAATATATGTTCTAATATCAACTATTATTCAAAAAATCAATCATTATATTAAAAAGAACTAATTTGAATTTTTGAATCTATAAATATTACAAATCCAATTTACTTTTAGAAAAGAAAAACACATTGGATACCATGTAAAGATGTTAACAGATCAACAAAATTGCAAAGATCTACAAACATTAAATACCTTCACTGAAGTTTTCAATATTGTTATTGGTAATAATAACATTTCTTCAATTAGTAACTTAATGCACTGATCCAAAATAATCAAAAATTTATTCAAAAATAAATTAATATTTTCGAAATTTGTTCAAGTTTTATTTGTCTCTTAGCACTCGAATAAAATAAACTTCAACATAATTTGCGTCGGCAAACTCATGTGACTAAGGGACAAATTTTTGCCAGCACGTAAGTGCCGTTTCTCCTGAAAATAACCGAGGATAAAAAAACTCTCGAAAGTTATGTATTCAGGATACATCATCAGATCTGCTGGGATGTGGATTGTGATCAAAAAATAAATTATGATCCAACACTCATCTTGATATTGAGTATCGAGAAATTTCTTCTAATAGACTATGCAATCCCTTATAAAGTCTTCGGAGAACTTTTCATATAGATGGATCCAAAGGATTCAAGTCTATTTAGATCATAACCAACTTCATGGCTAAATAACTTAAATCGCATCTTCCCCAAAATCAAATGCAAAGTTATCTGATAACACAATATCAAGGTTCTTACGAATCGTATCAGAGACACTTCGCCTTAGCCGGATTTCTTCATAGCAAAATTCTTCCTCCCAATTCAGAAGGATCCATATTGCTTCCTTTTCCCATAAACTACATACTTTATTATCACCGAGACGAATAAAAACCTTTTCGACCAATTCGGGAATTGAAAATGGATTTGCCGTTATGATATTCCTAATATTCTCCAAACTTCAAATCGTGTACAAACTGCGACGATTCGTGTCTTGATTTGCCTATCAACACAGTCCACATGATATTGCGAATAAATAAAATTGCGATCCGCGAGACATAAAAATTATGCAAATACGTGAAACTGATTGTCTTTTTCTATGGGACATCTATGATTCATTCGATTTTCCTCTCATTTTTTGGTTGTTCCAAATTACGTTTCTAAAAGATCTCATGTTAGTTCTGAAATTGATAAGTGAGCGAAATCGATTATTAATGAATTATAACTTGTCCAACCTTGGCCAAAAGTGAGTGCGGAATTCATCGAAGTGTTATTTCCGCTTCTGTGATTTTCAACCATATATAGGCACATTAACTAGCAAATTGTATGATTCACGGGTATCGTTATATCATGTGATTCCGTGAACAAGCTAAATGTCATTTCTTCACTACATGGCATTGTGTCTTTCCATAAAGTGATTCACAATACTTTGAATTTGAGCTTTGAGATGCTATCTGCACTATACGAACTCGCTTGATTTGTTCCAATCGATCATGGCAAAGGATTCGGCCCTCAATTCCCTCATACTTGTACTTGCACTTCCGGTCATCTATTCAACCATGGAAACGTTAGATTCATGAGTTGATTGATTTTCCACATGCCAAGCAGATTTTATTAATAAATATCATGATTTCCGTTGGTTCTTCAGCTGAAAGGCAAGATTAACCCGCAAACTCCAAATGACAAATAAAAATTCTTTATTAAAATAAATCGTACTGAAATAAAGGGTGAAACACTACATTATTTGGAAAGGATCGTGAAGCATGCAAAATAAATTACAAAATGCTCGAGCAGACTAAATAACTGGTTCTATTTATTGCAAAAGAAATTAACGAATTTTAATCAATGCTATTAGCACTTTTCGTCTTCCATCGGGTTCTGCAACCATTCTTTTCCGGCCATCTTTCAATTGCAACTGATTGCTTAGTGGCAGACCTCCTCCAAATATGCTATAGGAATTACAGCCTTGTAAAATATAAAGTTCACGGAGAGAGCGCGCATGACAAATATGATCTGATCAGTCATGTTATCAGTTATTGGACCAACGTTGAATTATTTGGTTTAACAAAAATACACTTATCAAACGATTCAAAAAATACAGACCTCTATAACCAACATAACCTTATTTCGCTTGGTAATCAGAAATTCAGGTTCGGCTGACACGTAAAGCGTGTTATACATGAAATCTGGTTTCTTACTAAAATACAACTTTAGAAGTACATTGGGTGAATCACAAATAATTATTCACTCGATCATCAAGGGCCAGTCATCCAGATCAACAATTCGAAACAAATTGTCCACCATGGTGTCAGTAAATATTAAGACGTGACTCGAATTTCCAATCTTGTCAATATTTAAATCGCCGCTTGCGAACATGTCGTGGTTGATCTCGGGAAGAATGTATTGTTAGTGACTGCATGATACTCGGATTGTATGTATGAGAGTTTGTTAAAGGAATGTTAACGCAACGTGTTAGTACCTTCACAAAGAGAAACGGCAGTCTTCGGATGGTGCTGGTCGGAAGCTCACTCTCAGTGCATTATCTCCTCTCGAGAACATAGATGCTGAAGTGTTGAAGTTCTTACCGGAAGGAACTTAAGCATATTCTTGACACTTTCTCCCGATTTTGAAAGAGTGGTAAGTAATGTGGAAGCAGATGAGAAAATGACTTGCAGGACGAGAAAACCGCGCAAAAAGACCAAGTAACGAAGATAAAAATCTTGATAATATGTGTTATATAAATTCTATTGATCAGACGAACAATCGATTTTTTCAAGCGATCAGCTCATAAGATTTTCAAAATATTCTGTACAGTCACACCTCCCTAAATGCACGCTTGCGCTTGGGCTCAAGTTTGGGAGCTGCACACCCTCTATGCTCTACACGTTAGCCACCTGAAACTTCTAATTTCTATTGGTGGTGAGTCTACGGACAGTGCATGATCACGTGATTTTCAAAATCCACGGAAAATTGACGTTAAAGGTTATTTTATCGTTTGGATTAGGGTTAGGGTTAGAGCTGAGGATAAGGTTATATGTAAAATTGCTTTTCCAACATTTTTTGATAGTACTTCAAGCTAGATTTTGACACATTTTTCACATTTTTTATTTTATTGTTTCTAAAGCCACGTGATTCAGCACCGTAGACTTCCCGTTCTATTGGTTTAAAATCACTGGATCACATGCATTTAATTTCGTTTTTTATTGGCCGGTTGGGTGAGCTATACTATTTCTTTACCGATAGTATTAGGGAAGTGACATATATTTGGGGTTTTCAAAAATCTTACCTCTTACTTGTACCACGTGATATGTGATGATCTTACCTGGGGATGAGGGGATAGAGGTTTATATCAAATGGATGTTAGGTAATATATGTCAGTGCCCTTATTTATATTAATGCTTTTTATAATTTAAATTTATGGATTTAACCAATTTCTTTGCCAAAGGAACTTTGGCTCAGTGGTTCGAACGCTGCCTGTTGACGTTTTTCTGGGTAACAAATGTGATTTCGAGCGCTGCCTATGTACATTTCCAGAAATAGAATGTCGCGTGTTCGAGCCGCTCGAGTTATTTTGTTCGTAATGTGAAATTTGTCTTAATAGGTGGTTAGGTTATATGGCGAGAGTGAATCTAGATTCCGACTAATGATATAATGAATGAAAATCGGTGTATTGATATAATTTTTAATATATGGAATGCCAACCTTAAATAATTAGTGAAGGTTATGGATTGCAAGCTGTCATAATAATATTGTATTATCAGATAGCATAAATTTCAGATCTGTTAATTGATATACTCATTTTTGCAATTGGTAATCAATGAGTATTGATCTGAGACATGTTCGACGCGTGTCTATAATAATGGGCCAATACCTTTGATCCAGAGTACCATGTCCCAGCGTGCATTTTCTTAAAAATAGAAAAGTGAAGCGTGAATTATTTGCAAATATTCATAAAAAATCCAGTTTAAAGAATTTACCATGATTAACATTTATTAGAAAATATTGTACTAGTACATTCATTATATAACTTGTATAGTTGCAATATCTCAAAGTTGACTTTTCACATTAATTATTGACATTTTTATTTGCGTTTTCTGTTAGAGGAGGCTTTGGATGTTTGACGGAACGTATTCGCCGAGGGACAATAACCTTTTACCGGACAGTCGGCACATCTTGGATAAGGAGACTTGCAAGTTGTTTGACCGAATCCGACAAGGAGATAATTAATTTCGGACCAAAATTCTTTGGGAAGCCATGATTCCAGAGCCTTAAAAAAATGCAATGCAGAATAAATAACCTTTTTAAGATCATAAATAAAAAATCGGAAATAGTTGGACCAACAACCTTGCGAGTCGCTTCTGGTTCTTTAGTCTTACACCACCCAAGTCGATTGGTAATGCGATGGACATGGACATCAACTCCGATCCCTTGATTTCTATAAAAGTATCAATGCGTAGTTGGTAAAAAAATTTGAGTCCCAAAAAAATGATTATTACTCGTATTATAAGTCTCGAGAAATTTTCAATAACACCCTCATTAGATCTCACATATTCCAAGCGCATTGCATGCATAAATAAGCCTATATATATGAATGACAATAAGACAAGCTCATTATATTTAATCAAGAGAACATGAAAACGCGTAAATGAAATTATTATTACCATTTTAGGACCAACTCCCTTCAAATTCATCAAATTTTTTATATCGTTTGGTATGTCACCATTATACTCTTCTTTACACGTAACAGCGGCTTGTTTAATCCATCTAAATTGAAAAACTAAATGGATTTAATTATTTTTGGCATCAGAAAGATATGATCAATCATACTTTGCTTTTTGTTTATGAAATCCAACTTTAGAAATACATTCATCCAAAATCAGTTCGTCAGTATCAATTATACTTTGTATATTTAATCCACCTGGCAACTTTTGTCGTAGATTGTTTATTGCCTCTGCCGTTATCTGATCTTTTGTTTGTGATGAAAGCATCAAAGCCACAAGAGTTTGAAATCTCGAAGTCTAAAGCAAGAGAAGCATCAATTTTTAAGATATATTTTAATATTGATTTATACTATATATATTATATATGTATTTATATTTACTTGTGGAGTAATTATATCATTAACTTGTTCGGCTAATCTTTCACATCCCATTGTATCAACAGGCGCATTAATGCCTAACCGATATTCTTTAATACTCTGGTAAACTTGTTCCCAGTTGACGGGTGGCCCTTCAAATTTAACTTCCTTTTTTATGCGTGTTTTTTTAGCTCCTGATACTTTCACTGTTTCATCAATAACAGTTTCACCATTACTTTCACTACCGATAGTGGTTTCCTTTGTATCAAGAGAAACTTCGTAAGCATCGACTTCGTCTTTAATCCTAGCCTCATTCAAACTAACGGGAGACGAAACTTTGATTTTTTCTTCTATTTCAATTTTTATATGTTCCCGAGCACGTTTTCGAGTAATTCGACCCTGATATTCATTATTACTCATCTTTTCTTTGTTAGCTTTTAATTCTCTTATAAAAATAAAGAATTGTCGTCGAAAATGAAAAGAACCTCGCGTTCTTGTACAAAAATTATTTACGAGAACCATCCAATTACGCGCGTTAAAGCGAATCCAATTGCAAAGATCAGGTGTAACATACAAATTTGACCAATCCAATTGTAAGATCATGTGTAACACGCAAAATTCAAACGAAAAATTGCAAATAACTCGAATTTTGCTATAACAACTAACTTTCAACATCTAAGTAAAGTGCTCAGCACGAGATTTTAGATATAGTTTAGTCTTTGAAAGCTAGCACTTTATCGAATAAAATTTCTAATGAATTTGATAATTAAGTGAAACTACTCCGCTTTAACTTCTCCCCAATTCCAATTTTTATGTATATTATCTTGATCAGTTGCATGATGATACATTCAAATATCGATATTGAAAAATTCGCATTAAAAACCATAGTTTAAAATCATTATCACATTTGCAATAATAGTTAAACGAATTCAAGAAACGATAAAATTTCACGAAATTATGATAAAAGGTTGCATCTGCTCGGGATCGAACCGAGGACCTTGTGCGTGTGAAGCACACGTGATAACCACTACACCACAGATGCTTTCCGAATTACATTTCTAAAAATTATTTTTATTTATATGTCAAGCGTAATCTAGAATAATCTAACTATAGGAGTTCGTTTCTAATCTAAAAGTGAATTTTGATAAGCCAGACTCTCGATAAACCAGATTGAAGTGTAAAACAGTTAAAACAGTCTATGATAAATAAATTTCACTCATAAACCGGATTTCAGAAATTTTAATTGACCAATCACGCCTGTTTGCAAGCCAGTTACTTAGTTTAATTTAATTAGTAGTGATCCATGAATTGCGATACATTTGAGATTGAGACATAAGCTATAATAAAACTGCGCCATATTTTTAATTGGACATATATCAAATTTCAATTAAAAAACAATTGGATATACATATTCTATAATCCAAAAAAAAGCATAGTGTAACATAATAAAAATTGAAATTTTCTTTTCGTAATAATATTTTTTATTTTATTAGTCGATATTTTTTGTTTTATATAAAAATAAAACTAAAAATCTTTATTTTAATATATGTTTTTTGTAGATATTTTTAATTTAACTTTAAGAAATATTGCTAATTGTAAAGTTGATTATACAAGTTTTTTATAATTTAATAAAATTTAATTATAAAAAGTTTGTATAATTAACTTTACAATCAGGAATATTTCTTGAAATTAAATTTAAAAAATCTATAAAATATATGTTAAAATATAAATTCTTAGCTTTATTTAATAAAAAACCAAAAAATATTTATTAATAAAATAAAAAAATATCATTATAAAAAATTTCTGATAATTTATTGTAGAAATATATACAGTGATTAACAAAATTACAGAATCACACATGTGATTTTATTAATAAAAATTGAAATTTTTGTCTTATATAATTTTTTTTATTTTTATATTAAAACAAAAATTATAGTTTAACATATATTTTTTCTGGATTTTTAGATTCTTTTCTAACAAAGTTATTTTAATTGCAAAGTTATTGCAAAAATTTTTTATAATTAAAATATAAAATTATAAAAAATTTTTGCAATAACTTTGTAATTAGGACAATTTGTCAGAAAAAAATCCAGAAAAAATATATGTTAAACTATAATTTTTGTTTTAATATAAAAATAAAAAATATTTATTAATAAAATTAAAAACTTTTATATAAAACAAAAATTTCAATTTTTACTATATTTTATTAATAAAATTGCATGTATAATTTTATAATTCTGTTAATTATATAATATAATTTATATATATATATATTTCTATAATAAATTATCAAAAATTCAAAAAAATATTAAAAATTAAATTATTTTTCTATAATAAAATTTTGATTATAAAGTTGATTACACAAATTTTTTATAATTAAAATTTGTAAATTTGAATTTTTAATTATAAAAAGTTTGTGTAATTAATTTTACAATCTGAAATATTCTTGAAATTAAATTTAAAAAATCTATAAAAAATATATGTTAAATACAAATTTTTAATTTTATTTTGATATAAAAACAAAAAATATTTATTAATAAAATCAAACTTTCATTATAAAATACAATAATTTCAATTTTATTATATTTTACTATACTTTTTTTTTGATTTCTAATAATTTATTGTAAGTGTATATTGTAACTATAATAAAATAATTATAACAAAATAAATATAAAAAAGTTTAATTATATAATAAAATATTTTTTATAGTTATTTATAATAAAATTTATATTTATAAAAAATTATAATTAAATCTAATAATATAATTATACAAAAATTAATTATATATTTATAATATAATTTCATTTATAAAAAATTATTATTGAATTCAACAATATAACTATAAACAAAATATAATAATAGTATTAATATAAGTATTAATTTTATGAATATTCCAAGTTTTATTTCTTTAAAAGATCTTTTATTAAAAACAAAATTAAATTTTTTTAATATAATTAATATATTAGAAAATTTTGAAAACAAAAAAGTGTTGATTGCTAATAAAATAAATCAATAATAATTGATTTTAAATAATATTTAATCACTTTTGAATGTGATACTTAGTAATTGGATACAAAATAATCACCATTCAATTTGGTTCAAATTCGATTATTAAATATAAAGAAATATCAAAAATTAATTTTGATCAAATGAAAATTGATTTCTAAATGAAAAATCAACCAATCTTTTAATAATAAAATGTGTATATATTAAAAACAAAAAAATACAACCATCATGTTTTAGTAACACAACACAAATGCTTAAACAAAAACACAACTTTAAATCAAGTCGGTCTATTTTTGCATTTTATTCAATTAAACTAATATTATTTAATAATTAACACTTATTAATTGTGAAAATCCAAGAAACTAAATAAATAAATAAATAAGGAGTGTGAATTTTTTTGATTTAGATAAAATTATCTTATTAAAGAGAAAGCAATTATGAGTTGAAGAATAAAAAAAACCGACTAGAGATTATTATTTTTTGTTTCCAAAGATAGTAATATAAACAAATGAAACTAATTACACCAAAAATATATATATAACGACCCGTTCCGTACATAATTTTGCACAGAATAGATAAATAAATAAAGATAAATTACTGCACAACAGGTATGCCTAATTTCAAAGAACAGCGTTCACAAAATCGTGCACTTTTATCGATTCCAGTGAACGTGCAACTCAGGCAAAAGATTCCACCGCAAGTCTTGCAATGAAGTTTTCGTTCTTTGAAAAGTCAAAAAAACAAGTTAAACACAATGGGTTCATGATATAATGGAAACTTTATTAATTCGTTACCTAATACGGCAAATTTAAGACCGCATTTTAAGCAATAGTCGGTGGAGCTATCTGGCATCCAATGGAGATCACTCTTAGTGTCTGGTAGGACCCAAGCATGTACTTTACCAATTGAATCACCACAATAAAGGGCACGTTGATTGCTGCATATATTAACAAGGAATTCAAAAATATAGTCATAATTGAATAACAGAAGATTTTAGATTTATTAGAATAGTAGGATGAAATTCAAAATTACTTACGCTGATATAAACAATGCAACAATATCCGCTGAGAATTTTACACCGATCCTGTTTTCGTGTCTCAGTGTATGACGATGATTAAGACACCATTTCCATACTGTATTATTATTATATGTCAATTGAAATTTTGCCAGCCATTGAAAAAATGGATCAGAAAGAAAAACATGATAGTTGGTATTGGCTTTCAATATTCTCTTTACCTTTTTTTTCGCCATCCACTTTCTCGCAGTATGTTTTATTCCAAACCTAAAAAAAAAGAATTATATATTTTCAATATAAATATAAAATATCATATTCAGAAAAAAATTTTTCGTACCTTTACGACACCTTTTTTGTGACCTGTTAATACTACATCACTCTCAAACCATTCGTTTAATTTTCCCTAAAAGCAAACATAAAAAAATCACTAAGTTTATGATACTAAAAATTAATGTTAAGGTATAATTTTCATATATTTACTTCGTAAAATACACAACAAAGAACAGGGTCCACAGCGGATTTTGTTATTAAAAGATCGCCATTTATACTCCATAACCGTATTGTGGGACCGCAGCATGTGGCAATATCACCCTGAAAGAAAAGGAAAATTAATCTCGTAAAAAATCAACTTAAGTGCGAGAACAAATCCTTTCATAATAATTAAATACATACTGTGGTCTCATTTATAGATACATACTACAAAAAATAAATTAATTAATTAAACTTAAAATCGCTTTGAAATAGCATTGAAGATAAGTGAAATTATACCTGTATAGGTGCTTCGTGACCTTCCAATTGTCGAACATATTTCATCCTATTCATGTCCCAAATAATACAAGTTTTATCCTAAAAATAAAATACGAAAAAATAAATAAATATTCACTAAAGCAAATGATAGATGATGAATGCTGTATTATATTTAAGATTTTCACTGACATCTGAGCCACTGATAATAACGCTGTAAGACCTTGAAGTTGTTAAGCAATTAATTTTGGCAGAATGCCCACGCAAACACTCCATGAAGCGGAATTGTGGGTCTTTTGCGTGCCATATAAATCGCCATATACAAACAACCTATAATAACGCAAATCAGGTATTATTGAGTATATGCCATTATGCGTTAACAGAGTAAAATAAAGAGACATACAGCGTCAGTTCCTCCTGTTATAAAAGTCCGCGCATCAGCAAAACGGGCACAACTGATTGTTTCCAAATGCAAACTTTCATATAAGCCAATCATCTATTATTTATAATTGTAAATGTCATTATTAAACTAATAAAACAAGTAATCAAAAGAGTGAAAATAAATACCTTTCTTGTGTCAAATTGATGAAAACGAAGACTGTGATCAGCATAGCCCCATTCAACATAATGTGTATAATTCGGGGGAACTAGTAATTTCTGAGTACTAACTACGTGCAAACGATCATTCGCTAAGCAAATATCATGTACTTGCAACCTGACATCTAAACAATAAATAATTAATTAAAGATTGTCATAAAGTGACAATTTATAAATACTAAAAAATCTAATGAATTAATTTACCTTGTATTGGCATTACTGATTGAACAAGCGTATCAATACTCTCGTCAAATTTGAATAAGGAACCAGAATTTGATTCTTGAACTTCAGATCTCACTGAATGCGGTTTTGTGAATAGCTGACGTGGAGTTTGTCCAAAATTATATATAATGCCTGTGGAGGCTGATCGCTCAACCGGGTCTGTTATAGCATCCAGATCTAATGGCATAAAGTCCAATTAATCCCTTATGGCTTTTTTTTAAGAATAAAGATTGTTTTTTTTTTTCAATATTAGATAAATATAAACATACCAATAGCCCCCTCATAAGAAAGATGATGAAAAACGTTGACGGCCTCAATAGCTGCTGGTCCTTGCTGCTTATATCCAAAGACAAGATCGATCCATTCATGGAGATGCGCGCTTACAAATTCACACTCTAGTGCCTAAATCATTTATGGAGAATTTATTTATCCGTTATGAAACAACAATTCTGTAAAACAAAAATGATAATTTTTCAAGTATACTGACTTCTCGGTGTTTGTGAATAAAAATTTTTGGATCACCTTTAGCCCAAGGTGGAAGAATGACCGAGTCGATAACTTCACCACTTGCTTGTTTAACCCCAAAATTGAACTTATTTATGTTCTCCAAAAACTCTGGTAAATAAAAGAACTCTGGTATCAATTCTCGAACATCGCTCATGTTTTCTCGAGAAGCCGATAGCCAAGCTTTAGATATAGAGTGAAAAAGACGATCTGCATGATCAAAATGACCGCCCTAAATTGAGAACATGTATGAGTGCATGCATCAAATAATCTCAGAAATTCTCAAATATAATGGGGAATGTAAATACCTGAAGTTTCAAATATTGCTGCGTGAATGGTTCAAGTCTGATCAGATATGAGCAAACAATCATAGCCGAAGAATAATGTGTTCCATAATGAAATGCTGGTGTTGTTGCATTGATTACAGGATCCCATGAACGATATCGGATTTGAAATTCCTCTTTTTTTTGCATAACAAATTAAAAAGCATATTTTTGGTCGGTAACATGAAACTTAAAATTATCATAATTGTACAGTAAAAAAAATTACTTTGTCGTTCTTGAGTCTGTGCGCCCATGGGTTTTGAAAAATCACGAAACGTTGCTGGATTTGTTAAATCAAGCTAAAAGAAAAAAGAGTAAATAATTTGTAGCATTGAATATCGATAATCACTATTCATTAAAAAAAACTACTAACTTCTTCGCTAGTATAATCCGCCAAAATCCAAGGAAACACTGGATACTGCGTAAGATCTTTATGAAAAAAAGCAAAAAAAAATCAGGACAAGAATATCTTTCTCTAAGAATGATGATTGCTTAAAGAGTTCTGACCGTTATAAGATCGACCAGCCAAAGTATTTAAATGCATCAAATACTGAAAGTTAGAAATTTCTCGCTTCTCCCAACGTTGAGTAAGTTCAGTTAACTCTGAATTTCCGAAAAAATTAGAAAGTTGAAGTGCTAAACCGGCGGCAGGATTAAGTCGTAATGGTGAAACAGGTGATTTTCCATCGATTGTAGCAGCAGTGCCCATTCCCATTACTGACTCTGCGGCACTTATGGAAAACGTGGCCCTCGCAACTAATTTATTGTAAGCGGAATCTCTTTCTTTTAGGTTGAATGTAATTAAATAATTACGCCCATCGCTGAAGAAGAGTTCGAGGGCAACATCACTTGGATAATAGTAATAGAAATGATTTTTATTAGTGAAAATTTAATTAGACTGTAGACATTTAAACAATAGTATTGAAAACTTACCGAAATAAGAATTTCCTTTTATGAACTTCTTTTATATCCTCGAAAGCCCTATCAATCAATCAAATGATCAACGATGATATTAAGCTATGTTATAACATAAAAAAAAACAATCATTCGAATAATAACAACATTTTACCATTTCCTGCTTTTGTGTTTATTTCCAGAACTTGGATTAGGGTTCTGCGTACCATAGCTAGCATGCGAAGCAAGCATTTGCAAATATTGATCGCGTTCCTAAATAGAAAAGTACGAAACAATGGTATACAAGTCTTATGCTTTAAAATTAAAGTTTATTTATTTATTAACGTCACACCTTGACTGGTGCATCCCAAATATCCACAATTTCGCCGTCGGAACGTTGAAAATAATTATCCAATAGATATAAATTCTGTTTGCATAGTAATAAGAGTCCCTCTAATATAAAGTTTTAATTTAATTGTTTTACCCATTTGCCAGGCAAATTGTGTCGCACTATAGCTTAGTTTTTAAGGAAAATATGCGATACAAAAAACATTGCATAATGTTCTTACCACACGCGTCTAATCCCATAATTCGACTAATATTGAAAATCTCCAAAACAGTATCACCATGTTCCAATGAACGTATAACCTTTCGATTTTTGTCTTCCTCGAAAGCCATCTCATCATCTACATCGATTTGATCATCGACATCTTGGCCTAATAGATCAAAAAAATTCTACCATTATAATTCTTATGACCGCAATATAAGTATTAATATAAATATATTAAACCATATATACCGGTATCTTCAGAATCTTCTGGCATTTTCATTTCGGTTTCTCCTGGTTTTAACGTCATTTGTTTTTTAGGCTTCCTCACTATATTTAATGATAAAAAAGTAGTTTAAATATTAATCTATGGGAATATATATAACATCAAAAGATTATATACCTTTTAACCCGACTGAGGGAACATTCAATGCTAGAAAAACAATAAAAATTTAATTCTCATGATATTAAAGAGATGATGATGATGTTCGAAATATTAAATTATACTAACTATCTGATTTACTGAGATTATTTAATTCTGGAGGTGTTGTAACAGAATTATTATTCTATAATCATGAATAAATTTTAGAAAAGAAAGAATGAACAGAGAAAATTCAAAACAATTGAAAACCAAAAAAAAAAATTAAAGACCTCCGTATTTTCATATTTACTGCTTTTTGGCTTATAAGAAAAGACTTGCAAGTCTTCATTTCTTTCCAATTTTCTTCGCATACGACAACGTCCTTAATCATAAAATAAAAATATTAAGCGTCACGATAAATTTACCGCAACATCAATTATAAATCAACTTACCTTCCGTAAAATCAAGCCTCCATCTACTGGTCTTATCAACTTCGCTTTTCGGCCCCCACAAAGCACGCTCACGAAACAAATCTACCGAAGTTTTCGCCCATTCCGCTCGCACATAATTATCATGATCCACGTTATCCTGCAACGACTTATAATATCTACTTATCTCAATATCTTGTATATGTTTAGACCATTGATTTGTTTTGACCTTGTATTGATCAAAGAAATCTTGCTCGAATGTTCCTCGTTTGTATACGCGTTTAAGCTTGGTCATTCGTTTAGAGTGTGCGTTTTTTAATGATTCTTTGCCGTTTCTTACTTCGCTGGCAATTACTGTTTCCCATAGTCGGAGGAAATGATCTTGAAATAGGGAGTCGAGTTGTTCTCGGCGAGTTTCTATCCATTCAAGGAATGAATCTATTTCCTGATAAGACACGTCAAGTTAGATTGTCTTAATGTGGGATACAACAAATATAAATATTTAGTTAAAAGGTAATTAGAATTACTCCTACCATTTCCAAAAGTTTAGAGAATCCTTCGACTAATTCCTTATATTCTAATAAATCGGATTGCGATAAAAATTAAATCGGCAAAGTCAAAATCATAAAGGAAAACTCAAAAAAATTCCAAACCTATTCCCCGAACCCTAGTTTTCAAAATGGTGTTCATTTCATTCGGTTTCTGAAGCATCAACAACTTCCAAATCTATAAAAAATAACAGTAGTGTCAAGGAAACCACAACAATACAAATTTTGATTATACAAATAGCAATAATTTGAAGAGTCATCATCATTCAAAAAAAAAAGATACGCTCATCGAACTTTTTTTAACGTCCTGGTTTTCATAAAGTAAAAATTTGTATAAATGATAACACAGACATCGTAGAAAATCTATATCTGTGTTATACTGACCAAAGATAATTTTTTGATGATATATAAGTTGAGTAAGCATCTCAATAACCATTGAGACCTCTGGTGATATTTGACTAATCTCGTAGAGCTTAAAAACGATTATTCGATTCAATGAGCGGTAAAGAATGTTCATAGTTGAATCAGATGCGCGTTGTTTACCATTGGCTTCTTCTTGCCGTTGCGTGGCTTCGAGAACAATGGTAATAAGTTCATATAGTTGATTTCGCCCATTTAAAAACCATCCTAATATAAAATATCATTAAACGTTTAATATTTTCAAATAAAAACGATATAGAATTAAATGATTTTATTAAAAAACCTTGATAAATTGCATCGACAGCGTGTTGAGCAAATCGTGCAGTATTAACGAAAATACGTTGATCCGCCAATAAATTCAAATCAAGTTGTAAGGTACTTTTTAGATATGCCACCACATGTAAATATATATAGCTCTCGAAGTGGATCTAAAAACTTAAAATTAATTAGAAATTTTGAAGCTTTATAATAAAATATCTATACTATTAAATTTGAATGAGTCACTAACAAACCTGATGATCCAATAAAGATGGTGGAAACGACTATTAAAATGAATCAATTAATTGTAAATCTCCTATTAAAGTTAGTTTTTAGTTAAAATCCACAAAAAAGCTGACTCACCCTTAATACCATCTCTAATCCTAATAGTGATTTGACATTTGCATCTACGACAGAATTAGCAGAAACAGAAATTACAAATTCAAGAAGACTTTCCACAGTGGCATTCTTTTGTATTGCGTATTCTGATTTCTTTGAGTTTTTAAGAGGAGTCCGAGATATTGAAGAGACTTTATTATTATTATTATCATTATCATTATTATTATTATTATTATTAATATTATTATTTCTATTATTAAGCTTATCATTATTAAGATTATTATTATTATTAATACTACTATTACTTTTACTATTGCTATTATTGTTATCATCGTCATCGTCATCATCATCATCATCGTCATCATCATCATCGTCATCATCATCATCGTCATCATCGTCATCATTCTTTTGATCATCAGTCTCTTCATTATTCGTTGAAGTGTATTCCGTCGGAGATTCAGTGGCCACTAATAATAAACCACTTCCTGTCGGAAAAGACTTCAATTCTTCAGCTGGCTCATCAATATGAATTTTCTGTAGTTTCATATTGGTAAGGATTGGCAAACCATGAGGATTAATATTTCCCAAGTGCACGTCAAAAGATGATTCTGAATCAAAAGAGAGATCAATATCTTTTGAATTTAATTCCGTTTCCACAGACACCTCATTGGAGGCGCATACGATGGGAAATAGAATTTCGACGATATTATCCATCACTTCACTTTTGCAACAAAGTTCACCAAATTCACTAGATGTGGAGTACATTTCTGCAATAAAATGAACAAGTGTTTGTTGTATTTGAGAGAGTTTTGCAAGCTGTTCTTTTGTTGCATCCTGGGCTGGCTCAGCTGTTCACACAGATTGTCGTATCAATAAAGATATTATATATATATATAATTGAAGTCTTTTTTTTTTAAAGAAACTTAAAGTGATCGAGGTTCTCATACCTGCGATCAAATCTGACATTAGATTTCTTGCCAATTCCAATTCACGAGTGAGTGATCGTGATTTTCGGCGATATGATTTTAGCCGTCTTTTGTCCGTTTGTAGCAACGAATCGTCTTGTGTCCTACCTCGAGTTAGTGTATTATCTTCGATTTCACGACTTAATTGTACAATTGCGCTAATCCCTTCCTTCATCATGAACAAAATAATTGGCATCACATCAGGACATTGTATGTAAATACGTTCATTCTGTCCTTTATATATAGTTAATAGCGCAAATAGATCAAAAGCCAAGTCCATAGGCACATCGCAAATATCTCGACCAAACAGCATCGCAAATAATGCTTGTTGCAATTGCGTTAAATACCACCATTGTGGGAGCAATTTTTGCATAACAATGAATCCTTCGGAAGTCGTGCGGAACTTTGTAATGTAATTTGACCCTTGAGAATGGAAAAGTCTCGCGAGAATTCGCGCAGCACAAACAACCCATGATGGATTTGAATCTTCACCAAAAAATAATAATGGCCATTTGTTTGTGATGGTCGTCGAGAATTTGTTAATGTAAAAAGGATTCAATTTGTCGCAGACAATGTCCGTTAGCATTTCCATCAACATTACGCCAACCTGTCTAGAAGATGTATCAGGAGGTAATGTTCTTACATCTGTCACGATTGTTTTTTGCGAGTTATTGTTAATTTTGTTATTATTATTGTTATTTGATTTTGGATTGTTGACAGTGACAGTGACGCTGCGTTTCAATGAAGAATCTTTACGCGTTTGTCGCCGATGAAGTCCTGAAGCTAAATTTTTAATTGAAAAATATGAAATACTTATCGCAAATAATATGAAATGAAATTTTTATTGTAGATAAAAAATCGCCTACGCTTATTCAAAGTAGACACCAAAAATGTGGCAATGGCTCGTATTACTTCGGTTGTGAAATTATATTTTACCACTATCTTTAAAGTGGCTATAAACTCGGCCAACAAGTCTTTAGAGTACGCATTAGTTTTTAAGGCGACCAACATTTTTTTAACAACATCTATATCAATTAGCAACGAGAAAGATTTGTTAAGGAAATATTATGTTCAATATAAATTCATTGATACCAGAAATGATGTATAATTTGATGTCAAGGATACGCATTTTACTCAATCGCTTAGCATTGAAATGGTGATGTAAGCTTAAATGAATAAAAGCTGTAAATTGCTGCAAATGTGCACGCTGCACAGTTTCCCCAGCACGTTTCCACAGTTCAAAATCCAAAATAAGAAAGCGGTATGCAAGAGGATTCACGATTACCGAATCACTGAAATAAATAACATATGAAAAAAGATAAAATGACTCGGATCTATCTTGATAACAAAATTCACTTACGTTGGACTGATCGGGTTAAATCCAACAAACACGAGCAACAAATTCAATAGTTCCAATGATAAAAGCTCGTGTTTTTGTTTTAATAAAAATGCCAAGATTTCATATCCATGAATTCGTTCCATATCTTCGGAATTCCTCCAACTAAATCGAATCAACTCGATAAGTGTACAAACGGCTTTGTAGAGATCTTTTGTAGTCTTGTCACATAATAACATAAGCACATTAACAGAATAATACGAAAATTAAACTCAAATTTTTATGATAAGAAAAAATTAGTCTACCTCGGCCTTTTCAATCAATCTCAATACAACAGCGGATCCACCAATCTTCCAAATGGAATCGTCCATTCCATAAGGAATAGCGATAATCGGATCACCTTTAAGATACGCCAATCCATGTGCTACTCGTAAAGCTCGTTCCACTTTAGGAACTGCTGCATTGAGAATGACTTTTTTATTTGCTGATCCGATTTCCAGCGCTTGTATAGTACCTTCAGAAAGACCGGATCCTAAAATACTAACGTTCTGTCCCGACACGAGAACGTTACTTGCGGAAAATGAAAAAATAATTTTTTCCTCGGGAAGGGTTTGACTATTGTTTCCTCTGATAGCATTCACCATCGCCAAATGATCAAGCTCTATATTAGCATCTTTGCGTTTACGGCTCATCGCATCAAGTTTCATATTTAAAAGTGTTGATGTCTGATAAGTTTGAAATTGTCCCAATGAATCTTGAAAATTAGATGAATATCTAGGGCCTAAATGATAAAATACACTGATAATATCTCCGTCGATATCATCCTCGAATAGATAGCATGGTCCAAGATCCCATGCTAGAGTCGATTTACCTTTGCCCAATTGTCTTGCGACATCAGAAGGCGTTCCTAAAAATGTTCGGATTGGTTTATTTGGTGTAGGCTGTCCTAAGTACTGACATTTTGAATTTTCAACAAATCTTCCGTCAACGTAAAGAGACATTGAAGATATCGATCCAGCACGTGGACGATGATGAACAAGTGCAATGTGATACCAACATCCAGTTCGAAATTCATGATTATCGAATCGAGCACCTTGTTTAGGTGATGTATTTACTACCAATTTATGCGTATGTGCTTCAATATAAACATGTAAATAACACCTCTGTTCATCATCACTCAAACCCAGAAGTGTCAAATTAATATGAGGATCAAAGCTTTCGATATCAAGCCAGGCTAGAAAAGTATATCCTGAACTAGTTGGAGGAAATTGTCGATCAGTGAGTCTGCTCATTTCCAGACACGAAAACCCATAAGGACTCATATCAAATTGTACGAAACGCGGCCAACGACTTCTTTGTACTCCAAAGAAAACCATGTCCATGACAGACATCGGTGACCCATCAGCATCTATGAAAACTTCTTCAGATGTTTCATTACTATTTTCAAATTGTTCGAAAAGGAAACGAATCTCGGTGGTAGATACCCCCATTTCAATCAATCGTTGTGCAAGTCTTGTCAACGTTCGCTTCTCCATTTTATCCGGTATATTTCGTAATTCCAGTTCACTTTCGCTTACAGATTCTGGGATTGAAAATAAACGTCTCAATAAAATCTCAACTACACCTGATTGATTCATTGTTACTTGATTTCGCCGATTAGCAAAAGCAAGGGATATTAATGCCTCGTAAATTTCATAACTTAATGTTTCGTTATAACGAACATAAGTTTGTAGGTGCAAGATAGTAGGGATTACACCTGGATTTCGAATTTCATCGATCACTTTTCCGAAAGCTTTATTAATTTTTAATTGATGTGCTTCATTGAATTTTGACGGTTGACTATCATTCACAACACATTTTTCTACAAATATGTCACACACTGATTCATCTTCGAGTGCAAATCCAAATAGAATGCCAAAAAGATGCTCAGCGGAGCCTGATGGCCCAAGAATTTCGGTGAGACGAATTGCATCTTCAACTGATTTGAATCCAATGGAATTACTAAAGAATCTTCGATTAAAATCATGATTGGACATTGCATCGACAAAGACAAAGAAAATCCCCTTCAAAATCTCAATTGTTTGATGTTGAAGGTCACCATTTTCAAGATCAATAATAGCTCCCGATTGTTCCTGTTCTTTGATTGTGTGATTATTATCTTGTTTGGATAAATGTTCATAAACGTCTTCTAAGCTGATTAATAAACTAACAAGACAGACAAAACCTCCCGCTTCTCGAAAAACATCCTTCATTTCTGGACAGGCGACTAAGATTCGCCTCATTGATGATAGAATATGGATTTTCATTTTTAGATCCAGTCGAGATAATGTCTGAACTATTTCAATTAATCGTCCAAATTGGAATGAATGTTCAATAGTAGACACAGAGGAAGATGATGATCTATGTGACTTTGGAGTTTGTGGTTCGTTACTCGATAAAATATATCCATCTACAACTAATGTCTCGAAAATTGCAAGTGCGCCATCACGCGTCTCGTCGTACTGCAACAAGTCAAACAAATTTCCTTTGAAACTTTTCAATACATAAAATAATGCAGATTAGTAGAGTATCACGCAACTTATGAAAACATACTAATATATATATACTTACGTCACTCCAAACAAAGAAATATTTGATTTGCTGCCTTTTAGCAGCTCTACCATGCAAGCGGATATCAATTGAAAATTTTCTACCACTTCGGGACCAAATCGTAGTTTTTTTTGGTCGTTACCGCGTTTTTGTGAATTCAGAATATCATTCAACTGCGTAATTGAAATTCGCCTTACAAAGTGTGTATTGCCGAACCTTTCTTGCAAGGCGGTTGCTAAATCTTGTATAAGACTACATAACATGTTCAAAAGCCCAATCTCGCGAAACACATCCTTGAATTTGGGTGAAGAGCGCAATAATGATATTACAGTCTTACATACGAGAGCAGTAGTTTGCTTAGATGATTGCCCTTTAATTCGATATCAATGGAAAAAATGAAGCAAAGAGATTATTAACAAAATATATAGTTTTCCGATTCATATCATGATTTTTACCTTGGAAATGCAGGCTGAGGACAATTAATTCGCGAAACGGAACATAATTTAAATCTGCCATTGTAAAAACTAACAAGTCGAGTATTGATTTCTGGTTTTTGTAAAGAAAAATCAATATTGTTTATTTGGTTCTAATGGAAATAATACAGTATTGCATCATAACCTACCTGTACATTTACTCCAAATTTGTCCAATTGTTCGATAAATGTAGGTAGGATATTTAATGATTCCGTAATAAAGTAATTCATTGGATTTGACTTTATTATATCAGTGATAGCAACGACTATGCGTTTATGAAAACTTTCGGGCATTGATAAGCCGCTGTTAACTGTGACTATGGCTTTTAATTGTGATGATATTTCTGGGTATACAAGCGCGGAAACCAAAATCTGTAAAGCTTGTTCGTTACGAACGAGGGTCCCTAAATTAGAACAAGAGATTCTCAAGTTAAAAATTGATTTTTAATAAGAGAGTAACTTGATTTAAGGAAATACCATTTTCATTGTCTTCTTCAGGTAACCGGAAATCTAAAATTTCAAAAATTGATTTTAATACATAAACATTTATATTTGGTAAATAGATAGTTCAAAAAACGCTTTATCTACCTTCATGTTGATACGGCGCTGCATTAGAGGCCATGGACTTTAAATTGTCTGTTCCGGCAAATACAAGATCCTCTACCAAGGTAATTACGGTATCCTAAAGCAGGAAAAAATAAAAAGTTTTATCTTGGAAGAAACTAAAGCATATACAAAAATATTACACGTAATATCAAATATTTATGTATCTACTTCGAATTACCTTTGTAGAAGAAGAATTCTCATCAAAAGGTGGCAAAAGTAATAAATTGAATAAAGTTTCGTATCCTTGCAGATCAGAAAAATTTTCCAAAAAAATTGGTGACAAATCCACAGTTCCCTTAATGATATTAAAAATATAATGCAAACATCAATTAAAAATTTAAATTATATTTCATAGAAATAAATCACATGAAATAATTTTTTAGTCACCTGTATTAGTTCAATTAATAATGAACCAGCAAGAACCAATTGCTGGCTATATACGAATCTCTTATTTTCCACATCTACTCCATTTTTTAATATTTTGATCAGTCTACCCATTATATCTTTTTTCTCAAAATATGTAATGAGTTCCTGATTTACTGCATTCGCTGAAAAAAGCTCCGTGAGCACTTCAAGCCCTCTACAAAATAATGTCATCAGATAAAAAAATTTATTATTGAAAAATAGAAGCAAGGATGGTAGGTAGATAAAATTTACCTGGCTTCCCAGAAAAATCCTTTTTCTTCATCTTCAGATTTACTTTGTTTATCGTTTAAAATCATCGTAACCAGATAAACTAATATGTCTTCTTCAATCAATCGTTGCAATATTGGCGGATTTGTAACAAAATGAACGAGAATATCCGTGAAAATGTCTGCTACAACATCCACCGGAGTTAAGTCTGAGGAAATTCCCTCAGCTTGTGCCTTAATAGACGTGTTGAGATCAAGTTGCAGTGGTAATTCGATAAAACTGCTAAAGGTTTTAATTAAAATTGTTGGAAGCCCATTCTCTTTTATTGTGTCGAGTACAAACGGCTTTATAACAATTAAAGTAATAAACAATTATTAATCAATTGTAGATTGAAGAAGCAATTGAAACCTAAGGTACCGCGATACATCTCAAGTGAATTATCAGCATTTCAGGTTCGAATTTTCAAACTTAAAGATAAATCTGCACATAATTCAACTTTGATATACTGCTGATACCTCATTGTAAATTAATTATTTTACTTGGAACAGAAAGGACTCAATTATATATCAATTGAGTGCTTTTTAATATAAATAAAAATTATACATACTGGACCATTGCACAGGATGTTGAGTGCTTTTAATGAAAAGAATAAATGTTCTCTCGACGATAATTTGCGTAAAATCTCTATTTAGTCAATGAAGTCGCGAAATCAATGATTATTCGAAATATTCTAAATTAATAAAGGATTAAATAATGCTCACAATACCCTGACTGGCCTCCGGTCTTTGTCCTGTGTCGGGAACGCTACGAATCCCAGCAATCAAGTGTTTTGAAACGACATTTGTAAACGATTTCAAATTATCCAAACTATTCAAAAAAATGACACGTAAAAATTAAACACATTATAAAAGAAAGCCAAATAAAATAAATAAATTTCTACCTATCTGCTACAAGTTCTGGTGCTTCCACATATATATCACAAAATTTTCGTACAGTTTTTGATAAAAGAATACTTCGTTCCTAGTGCAAGTATATCAAATAACTTAGAATTACAATTATATACGGTCAAGTAACTTGCATTGGCTATGACGCCTAATTGACGTAATTGCTAATTTAGATATATATGAGCAGATACCTTTTCCTCAAAAGCATTCTGCCATTGTTGGAAGAGTGAGCGCAATTCTTGGAGTTGTTCGAAAGGAATTCTGAAGATCAAAAATATAATTTAAAATTCGGAGTAACATTGTCACATATGCATCAAATCACGTAAAATGAAACATAAATTGCCAATTTAGAGAAAATATAATACAAAAAGTCAAATGTATCTTGGACACATTCAAAAATTGAAATCTCAAAGAAACTGACCACCCGCTATTTTGATCTTTACAATAATAATGCATCAATATCCAAAAATCAAAGTTTTGAGACACGCTAACAGTTTGAAGTGACAAGGAACCAAACTCACGTTTTACGTGGTGAACTAGCTAGTTCTCGAGCCACCGCCTCGTCTATAACACCAAACAGTAAGCTCGAACGTCGTTTAGCCTCAGTAAGTCTAGGACTCTTCGGCGAACCTTGTATAGATCTTCTCTTTACAAATTGCTTTTCGGGCAATCGAAGAGGAACATTAGGTTGTGACGAAGTGGAACTTACATTGGTCGCATTCTTTATTTGACCAACAAATCTAGACCACATTTTTAGATGTTTTATTTTCTATATAGGTAAGGTAAAGTCTCTTTGGCCCAAGTTACGTAGGCCGCGAAAGGACCGAAAAAAAATTACTGAACACTGTGTTATTCTGGGCTTGTTCATTTTCTTTTCTCGAGTAATCTCACGTGATTTATGTGAGTATGCAGTATCACATTATCACATTGAAAATCTGGCGTAATTTAGTTTCCACATTATGTGTTATCGTTATAAAGAAATTAGAATACAGAAATCATGTACAGTGCATACAAGCTAAAGACAGCAAAGAAGTTCAAATAACTACTACTTTTTCACCTGAAACTCGTCGTTATTCAATAGAGAGGATGAGAGGATTAGTTCTTCAAATTCGAGATATGAGAAAAGTGATAAAATTGGAACATCACGTGAAGACCGATGATTGATCAAATAATAATGAATGTAGCCATGTAATTCCGATCCCGATCCTTAAAATCATGCACCAATCAAATTGCAAGCTCTCTTATCTGCTATATAATAACTCTAAACCTAATTCTAACTCTATAAATTATACGTACAGTGGCTCACACATGTAACCGAACACAAAAATTAACTTTTTAGCATTTTTATTTCCATAAAAAAAATATTCATTTGAAACCCTGAAATTTTTTAAAAATAATTTGACAACAGATTATTTTGTGAAATAGAGTGGTTTAAATCAAAATTTACAATTAGTAAATTTCTCACATTGAAGAACTTTTTTCTATAACGGATCCAAATTTAAATTACTAATTAAAAATATACTATTTTATGAAATCTACTTATTTATCAATTTTCATAAAAATCAACCTAATTTATATAGATATTTAAGATTCTAAAATCTGAATTTATGCTAGGAGCATTAATACTATCATCATTTTATTTGGATTTTCAAAATATTATATTTTTTACATGCTCAACACATGTTTCAAGTTAGATAACATTATTATCAAAAAAGTTTATTTTTGAGTTATTACTTGATTAATTGACTGAATAACTAACTTTTCTAAGCTAAAATACTTCTTTTATATAAAATTATTAAATCAAAACTATCAATAATATTCACAAGAAAATTGCTTATTCATTCACTTGATCACTCATTTATTCACTTATTTTGTAATCTAATATAAATATAGATCATCTAATATAATATAAATAAATAATATTTATAAATAATAATATAAATAATAATATAAATATGATACAAATAATATAAATAATAATATAAATATAAAATAAACTTCTTTTGTATCTTTTCCCTATCGATCTCTCGACCAGGCAGAGCCACACTTTACCAAGTGCAAAAATCCTTCTCAACACAATAAAGTTATTGTACAATATACAGATTCTACTAACAGAAAATCTTTACTCATCTTATACCTTTCTTTCTTATTATTTCTTAATGCTATTATAACTTTACAATTCTTCTTCTCTTTTCCTCTTTTCTTCAAAAAACAAAAATAACAAAAAATCTCAAAAACACACAAAAATATATATATTTATAATATTTCTCTCTAATACTTCATTGTCATGTCTACTAACAACACCAAAAATAAAAGAACTACTAATTCTTCTTTTTCTTCTTCACTTATATACACCGCTATACGAAATTTTTTAGGTCTATCTTCCTCGTCTTCAAATAATACTGACAAGCAAACCTCTATTAACACATCAGATAATTCATCCAATCTTCAATCTTCCCAGCAAACAATCCACAACACATAATCACAAGCTAATCGCACCAAAAAAGCAAAAATTGATCACATCGATAAAATGGAATCAGTCAATACAAAACAAATAAATAACACGCTTCAAGCAAACAACGCATACACAGCCTCATCTCAATCAGCTAACTTTGAAGCAAATTCTTCCTCATCTACTAACACACATGTTCTTTCTTCTATATTACACAATAAATACATAATTAATTCAATCTCATCACCTCATAATATAACCCCAAAAATTATATCCCCTGATTCTACTGACGATCAATGGACCATCATATATAGCAATGGATCAAGGAATTGTCACTTCCTGAAATAATACTAAAGATAACATCAAATATATCAACAGTATCTTTCAACATAATCCAGGCTTTTTAAAAGCTAAATCATTTTCTCTTAACCAAACAAATTATATTTGTACTGAATTTGTATCAGACAAATTCCTCCAGTCAGCTCTAGATATCTCATTAAATGACAATTATATCTCTGATAAAAATCACAATCTCTCAATTCAATTGATTCAATGACAATTGCAGTATTAAGAGATATTTCTCTCAGAATATCTAAAGATCAGATTCAACACATAATGAAAAAATTTGGAAAAATTATCAACATAACACAAAAAATTATATCCAAATGAACTTATATCAAAGTCCAATTCGAATCACTAGAACAGACAGAATTGGTCATTAATGAATGATCTATTCTTTTAGGCACTGATCACGTACGCATTTTTCTAATAATCAATCAACTCGAAACAATCAAAAAAAGAGATGCATATACAACAAAACTCCTCAATCTCCCTTATAGAACAACAGTCTTAGAACTCGATGATTTTTTACAAAATATCCAAGCCAAATCTTGCTTTATTCCTCGCTCTCCCATTCATTACAACAGACAACACTTTGCTCTAATTTTCTTCGAAAACAAAATTAATATGGCAACAGCTATACAACAACATTTCACCCTTCGCAACTCAAAACTCTATTGGGAATCTCCAATTGTAAAAACATACAGAATCTGCTTCAATTTCAATCATAGCACAATTTTATACACATCAAAAAACAAAAAAGCATATCAATACCAACAACTAAACAAGCTTTATGAAAACTGGAATATTTCCTATCGCAAATCTATAATCACTTTACTGATTCTTAATTACAAAAAAGTCTTACTTCAATCTAACACAATCAACAAAGACAAATTCAAATCTACTGATAACCCAACTACAAAAATATCTGAATTTTCATCAAATTCAACTCTCAAAAAATACTCACATGAAATTCTTATACTCAAATAGGACTTAGAAACTTTCAACAAAAAACTCATCCTACTAGAAAACAAATTAAATTCAATAGAAACAAAACTTAACACAATCATCAACAACCAGAAACAAGTTCCTATCATGCCAATCTTCAATGATTCTCAACCATTAACTCATTCTAAACTATCAATATTTGAGCCACTCACTGCTTCCATCACCTCCACAACATCTGCATCATCAGACATAAATAACACAAACTCTCAGTCTTTCACGAACTCATCTCTTCAAAACACTATTGCTAAAAAAAACAAAGAAATCAACAACCTCAAATCTCTTAACCAAAACCTCATATCTAACTTACAATCTCTACGAAATGAACAAAAATCTTTACAAGAACATCTAAATCAAATCAAACAACATTTTTCTAATGAATCACAACAATAACTCAAACACATCTCAATCAATTCAACCGAATTTAACAATTAATTCACTATTCATATATATTGATAATTCATTCTTCACAAACAAATCAGATTACTTAAAATTATCTAATTCAAATTAACTATCATTTTCAATACTTCCAATAGAAGACTTAGTCACATCTGACAATGACGATAATCAATCCTTCAATGATAATATTGAATCACTTTCACCATCTTTTAATATTCAACTATCTAGTCACAGGTCACAACGTCAACTTAACACTCAAAATTCATCAATTAATTCACTATATATATACACAGACAATTCTTCTTTCATAAACAAAACACAATACACTCAATCAACGAATCAAACTCACTATTCTTCATTATCATCATCAAATAACCTTTCTGATAACTGCAACATTTCATCAACATTCAATAATATTAGCTGCAAGTTATCCAACACTTGGTGAATTTGCACATTTAACGTATGAGGACTAAACTCTTCAAGCAAAGCAAATAACACTCTTCAATTATTTAACCAACATCAAATAGACTTTTTATGTCTCACAGAAACAAAACTCAAAAGTCACATAGCAAAATTTTTGTTTTCCAAATTAAAACAATATTATCACCTATTCACTACCAATGATCAATAACCATTCAGATTAGGTGTTAGCATTTTAATTAATCATGAATGGGCTAAACATATCCAAAAAGTAAATTATATCAATGATTGTTTTATTCATATCAATTTTGCCTTTTCTGGAAATACAACAATACATATCCTGGTTAATTATTTTTCAGCATCTTTACTTTTTAACAACAATTTTATTAAAAAAAAATGTTATGATAAATTAACTCAATCCTTTCACTATCTGCTCATGTAATTCTCCTAGGTGACTTCAATGAGCATTTTTTTAATGCACCAAAAAATGGAGCAGTTAATCTTTTAACATTCAAAGAATTATATAAAGCTATTTACACATTATATTCACAAAGAGATAATTCTACTTGATCTCATCAAGATACCAATCACAGACTAGATATAATATGGTGTTCACCAAAGATCACATCCCTTTTAATATATGCAATCATAACAGATCCTTAATGGATTACAACTGAGCATCTTTCAGTATTTTGTGATATTTTAACTACATCTTTCACTCATCATACTCCTCTTCACATTCTAAAAAAATGGAAAATCAAGCAATTCACCTACATAACAAACAATCTTTTAGAAGAAGATATCAAAAACACATAGACACTCAATGCAATAATACTTCTCTTTCACCCAATAAAGCATCAATTTTCACTGGCGAATACTAAAAACTATCATTCTTAATGTAGCAAACAGCTCACTAAAAAAAAATAGTCGAACTGCACAACTTCTCTGTCCAAACTATTTATCAATCTTAACAAAAAACTCAAAATAGTTATACAAACACTCTCTCTTATCTCACAACATATTCTTCCTATTTCAGAAAACATCATTCAATTCTTAACAAAAAATTTAACAAAACTTACCAAACTAGAATTTACTCTCAATTTACCAATTACCAAATGGAACTCTCTCTCATTAAT